GGGTCAAACGATGAGCAAGACAGGAGGATGTATGCAAGAGCCAGAAACCAAGTAAAGATAGAATGTAGAAGGGCTGAAAAGGAGTTCCAGAGGCTGGTTGCAAGCGAGGTCAAGTCAAACCCAAAGGCGTTTTACCGCTATGCAAAGTCGAAATTGAAAACGCGAGTTGAAGTATCAGACCTGAGGCTTGAAGAGGGTAGTTATGCAGATTCTGACCAGGATAAAGCTGAGGCATTGAACAGCTTCTTTTCCTCGGTGTTCACAAGAGAGGATGCGATTAGCCTTCCTGTGTTTGAGGACAGACGGTTGGACACAGCACCGACCCACATTGTGTTCACAGAAGAGGGTATTAGAAATAAACTGTCAAAGCTAAAGGTCCATAAGAGTCCCGGCCCTGACATGGAGCATCCCAGAGTGCTAAGAGAGTTGAGCAACGAGCTTGCCGAGCCCCTGAATATCCTGTTTTGTAAATGCCTGGATGAACAAATGGTCCCCAGTGAATGGAAAGTGGCTTATATGAGTCCTATCTTCAAGAAGGGCGATCGTCACTCCACGAACAACTATAGACCGGTGAGCCTGACCAGCATAATATGTAAAGTAATTGAGAGTATTATCAGAGATGCCGCAATGGAACATCTACTACGAAACAACCTTGTAAAGGATTGCCAACACGATTTTATGCAGGGGCGCTCCTGCTTAGCACAATTGCTCAAGGTATTGGATATTTGGACCCATATTCTGGAACGGTGGTAATATCGACAATATTTACCTATATTTTGCCAAGGCTTTCGACAGTGTACCCCATGAAAGGCTGAAAATCAAACTGGAAGGGTACGGTATTCGGGGAAATGTCCTAGCGTGGATAGAAGACTTTCTACATGACCGCAAGCAGTGTGTGGTGATTAATGGCATGAAAACATCATCCGTACCTGTCACAAGCGGGGTACCACAGGGCAGTGTATTGGGCCAGCTGCTGTTTGTTTGTTTCATAAATGACATGCCTGACGTTGTACACTCCTCCATACAAATGTTTGCCGATGACGCCAAGTTATTTCGGGAAATTAAGAACCAAGCAGACTGTGAAGAGCTGCAGAAGGACCTCTGTGGGCTCCAGGAATGGTCGAAGAAATGGCTGCTGAGATTCAATGTCACGAAGTGTAAGAGGATGCACCTAGGGCGTACCAACGGTAAGGAGGCGTATCAGATGTCCCAACGGGATGAAGAAACTGCACTATTTGAGACAATGCGAGAAGGACCTAGGTGTGTATGTTGACAATGAGCTGAAGTTCTCGGGCCATTGTGAGAAGAAGGTAAATCAGGCAAATAAATTATTGGGTCTTATAAGAAGGTCGTTCAGATATCTAGACGGTCCGTCCCTCGTGACGATCTTCAGGAGTGAAGTGCTTCCCCATCTGGAGTACTGTCACCCCATCTGGTCCCGAGATATGCTAGGGACTGTCAGTTGGTTGAAAATTTTCAAAGGAGGGCCACCAAACTGGTGCCTGCACTTCGGCACCTCAGCTACCCTGAGAGATTGGAGCGCCTGAACTTGCCTAGCTTATACTACAGATGGGCAAGGGGGGGACCTAGTTGAGGTGTATAAACATCTCAGGGGGCACTACTCAGTCGAGTGTCCTTACTTGGAGCTGGCGGACGCTCGCCCCACAAGGGGTCACAGCTCAAGATTGAAGAAACTGCAAGTCCAGAAAACCGTGAGGGCAAACTTTTTCGGAGTGAGGGTTGTAAACTCTTGGAACAACCTGCCAGAGAGTGTTGTGACGGCACCGAGTGTGAGCTCTTTCAAGAGAAGACTTGACCAACACTGGAGCAGGTTCAGGTACATTCAGGAGCCGGTGCATGCCCAGTATTTGCCAACAGTGTGTGACAGAGACGTGACCGATCGCCCAAGCGGCTAAGAAGCCGATCAGTGGTGAAGAGGATAAAAGTAAAAAATTAAAGTATTGTGTGACGGCTGTCACTGACCGCTGTCAATGGTGGCTGTTACTGATGGCTGTTATTGACGGATGTTGCTGACGGCTGTTACTGACGGCCAACAAAGCCATCAAATTACCGGGAGAGAAGAATGGTATAAGCTGAATTACCTTACAGAAAGCTGACGAAATAAATCGTACCACAGCTTAACACCCCACTAAGCTTACCAAATAATTCATAGTGCTGTAAATAAAATTTATAAAATATACAAAATTGAAAATTAAATTGAAAAATAATAATAATAATAATAATAATAATAATAATAATAATAAATACTGTAATAAAGAACCATAAAGAAATACAAAAATGAAAAAAAAAGATCGAAAGCGATGAACCAAATATACAGTATGTATGATGTGCTGTGAGAGAAACAATTGAGACCCTGTGTGTAAATGAGGTACAAGTCAGATCATCAACCTGGGACTAAAGGTCTCTGTGGCAGAAGGTCCACCATTAGACAACACTTCCAATATCTTTGGCGGTAGTCCCTCCCTCCTTCTACCTATTATTCATTTAACTTGATTAACTATTTTATCTCATTCCTTCCCAAATGATTTCAAAGTAATAATATTTTTAATAGACAACTACAGTAATACAGGGAGAGAGAAGTAAGAAAACTACAAAAAGGTACAAGTGTCTAGGTCCGGAAAGTTACTTTTCTCCCAGTATGAACTACATCAACTTTTATTATTTCATACTGTCAAGATTAATATAGCTTATTATAATACGTTACTTTACACACTATAGCTGTAGTTACTCTAACATTATTATATTTATTTGTGTTTGCTAATAGACTACGATTAAGAGGGTCATAAAACAGTTGCTGATCATCATATGAAAAATATATTAAACATGGGCTGGCCCCGGACACTCTTGCCATCAACCGGTTTAAAAACTATTTTGTTATTTTTTCTAAACGACAGTATTATGTAAGACTAAAAATGATCTGTAATGTTGCTGTAAGTAATTTTGATAAGTTTTTGGTCATAAATAACAAAATTATTCTTCGTAACTGAGAAATATTAGTAATTACATGTATCAAAAAATAGTTAAAATTATAAGACTTGGTAGCTCCCTCGTCAAGCTGCCATTTAACTTAATATTTCAGCTGTTCGGCTAAAAATATTAAATGTCCTGCTTTTTTTAACGTCTCCAACTATCCTAATTTATCATAGCGTATAGTTAACAGTAGATGAGATAACATTAGAGAAGAAAATGTATGAAATCATTATGGATATTTGGTAAAACACAGTACTGTGGGTGGCAACTGTGTGGTAGGCTGGGGTACATACAGTTTACTTATGTGTTAGACGAGACAAACTACAGTTGTGGACGGAAATAAAATCCACAGGCAAAAAAGGTCACAGGACTTGTACACATTGACAACACAATATATATGATGGCATTGTACGTAGGTTAGGTTAGGTTAGGTTAGGTTAGGTTTTCCATGCCCTTTTTTCCTACAACCGTGGACCCTCCCTCTACCGTGGAGCCAATACAGTACATGTTAACTAATACATTACAGAGGTAACTGGTTATAAGACTGTACAGGATAGGAGTACTGTACTGTACCGTTACTGATATAACGGGTGACTAACATTACTGTACAGTCAATCTGTAATACATCACAGGTGACTGGTACAGTCTACAGGGTGACTGTAATGTTATAGAAGTGACTGGTACAGTCCAATGGGTGACTGTAATGCCATAGAAGTGACTGGTACAGTCCAAGGGGTGACTGTAATGCCATAGAAGTGACTGGTACAGTCCAAGGGGTGACTGTAATGCTATAGAAGTGACTGGTACAGTCCAAGGGGTGACTGTAATGTTATAGAAGTGACTGGTATAGTCCAAGGGGTGACTGTAATGCCATAGAAGTGACTGGTACAGTCCAAGGGGTGACTGTAATGCCATAGAAGTGACTGGTATAGTCCAAGGGGTGACTGTAATGCCATAGAAGTGACTGGTATAGTCCAAGGGGTGACTGTAATGCCATAGAAGTGACTGGTATAGTCCAAGGGGTGACTGTAATGCCATAGAAGTGACTGGTACAGTCCAAGGGGTGACTGTAATGTTATAGAAGTGACTGGTATAGTCCAAGGGGTGACTGTAATGCCATAGAAGTGACTGGTACAGTCCAAGGGGTGACTGTAATGTTATAGAAGTGACTGGTACAGTCCAAGGGGTGACTGTAATGCCACAGAAGTGACTGGTATAGTCCAAGGGGTGACTAAGTGACCACGTGGGTATAGTAGCAGGTGGTTGGCAGGTGGTTGAACACCTACTGTTATTACCTCACATATATAATGTTTATATATAACATTACCATGCCTCACACAATATATCGTGTAGCCATCAACTAATTATATCATTAACTAATATTACAAACGAATACAATTTATTTTCTAAGTTAATTATACATATTATTATTGTTATTATATGATAAAGCATTAGTTATAATGGTGTAGTTAACTTCGTATTGTTTTATATCTTATTAATGTCTTTATTCAAAAGGTTGGTAAATAATGACTCATATTACTTGATATAAGGCAAGTTTGGAGGCGCCATATATACCGAACTATGCACTAAAGTATAGAGAATGAGAAAACTAACCTTCCCGGGCTGTAATATTACGGGACGGGTAATTATGAGCACTTTTCTACACATTTCTCCGTTCAGAAAATACCGGCATCAAGGGGCAGACGACCACGTGTAATCAATAGTTTCCCGCCAAAATGTTCCCGAATATTCTCGAACCTTCTCCCGCGTGACGCCATTATCGAGCATCTTCCGGTAAATAGTTCTTGTACTAAAACCTAAAATTTAAATTCTACAAATATTTAATCGCCATTTTGGTTATAGTTATTTTATTAATTTTAGGTTCTAGAGGTTATTTTATTGATAATCTTGTGATATACTCAAGAATTAAAAAAATAAATATGAATGTTTACCGCGGAGGAATACATCAAGAGTGATCGGTATTTAAGCGGCGTCTGGCGCGAATCTCTCACAGTGCTCCTCCAGCTTCAGTCAAGGGAAGGTCTCGCGGCGTACTCCACACATTCCTTTTATATAAATAACATTCCAAACGTAAGTACTAAGTGATTGATAGTTATAAAAGTGATAGCATAACAAGGGAAGAGTGTAGTGTGTTATTGAGATGTGTCCTGTGGTTGTTTCTGTCTCAAATAAGGTGGAAGATGTTTTAATGTTTAGCAGTACAAAGTTCGGGTTGGGTTGTGGTGGGTAGACGTCAACAAACCGTTTAGTATTGCTTAGTAATTTTAATTGACTAATGAAATACTAAACCGTAAAGTCCTTAACTATGTATGTAAAGTTTATAAACGTTTATATTTTAGGGTTACCACTATGAGCAAGAGGGTTCAATCGACTACGGTGAGTGAGGGTGAACAAAGCTTCAACTGTCGTGTTGGGAATTATGACGGAAGTAAATTCAGAAGGCAGTCAATACCTAAACGCGACGAAGGGAGGTCTCTGAACATGACTAATTTGAATGTCTACTACACAAACATTAGGAGTTTGAAAAAAAGAATCGGTAATATTAGGGCTTTGGTACTTGCCAAAAAAATCGATATATTGGCATTTACCGAAACGTGGATCAAACTAGACTCACCCGTGATCCGTTTAGAATACCAAATTGAAGGTTACAAATTATTTCATACCGATAGGCAGCGTAAGTCAAGAGGCGGGCAGCGTGAGAAAGGAGGCGGGGTAGCAATTTATGTCAGGAATTATCTGAAGTGTAAAAAAAATAATAAAATCAGAACTAATCAGAATACAGAAACAATTTGGATAGAATTAATCGATGGTAGGGAAAAAATAATCATGGGAGTAATATATAGACGTCCTAAACTTGGTAGAAATAATCAACTTATTTGGGATGAAATTTACAGGGCTTCTAGTAGCTATAGCAAAGTCTGCATAGTAGGTGACTTTAACTTTAACTTTAAGCATATAAATTGGATTAACCTTACGGGTAAAAGCTCTGAATCACGTGATTTTCTTGAAACAATCCAGGACTGTTCCCTAACGCAACATATAACCGATCCCACCCGGGGTAATAATATACTCGATTTAGTTCTGTCAAAGAGAGAAAACCTCGTTAGTAATGTCAAGGTAGGGAACAAACTTGCTCACAGCGATCACAAAGGAATTAGATTCCAGTTAGAATTTTGGGATAATAATAATTACAATGATGATAATGATGATGATAGTAATGATGATGATAGTAATGATGATGATAGTAATGAAGATAATAATAATGAAGATAATAATAATGAAGATAGTGATGATAATGATGAAGATAATGATGATAATGATGAAGATAATGATGAAGATAATAATAATGATGATTATAGTGATAATGAAGATAATGATAATGATGATTATAGTGATAATGAAGATAATGATAATGATGAAAATAATAATGATAATTATAAATAAAATTATAAAATAATGATAATACAGTAACTAATAAAAAATAATAAAATAATGATAATACAGTAACTGTAATAATAATAATATTTATAATAAAGAACTATAAATACAAAAATGAAAAAAAAGATCGAAAGTGAGAAATGATGTATGTATGTTGTGTTGAAAGAGAAACAATTGAGACCCTGCAATTGCGTGTAAGTGAAGCAGAAAGTCAGATCAGCAACCTGTTTGGACGACTTCTTTTAAAGTAGACATGATCATCCATTTATTCTAATATATCCTGCCTTTAATAAAGGCTATAGTATAATTAACATTATAATTTTCTTTGCTACTGAACCACATACAGTAAATATAGTCTGACATTAGTATGAACATTGTATTATTATCCTTATCACTACAGTTAATATTAAACATTAAGAAATGCAGAAATAATTTGCTGTTGACATTGCAGACTGTATTCAGGAGATTTTTAAACCATTTGATTATCTCTTCTGGAAACAAGTAAAATACATGTAAAGGATATTCTACCTCGCCACATCTTGCACAACTATCATGTTTTAACATTTTTAGTCTGAGTTGTTGGTAGTTTCATGAATATACCTATATATGAAGTCTTTCTGGTGAGGATCCATATAAGAAAATAAGGAGTCTGCATTAGGCCGGTTGGCCTGTGCATGGCAGCTCCTGTCGAGTTACTACCACTATCATCCGTGAATCTATCTAGCCTCCTTTTGAAACTTTCCAGAGTTCCCGCACTTACTACAAAGTTGCTAAGCTTGTTCCACTCGTCTACCACCCTATTTGTGAACCAGTTTCTTCCTATCTCCCTCCTAAACCTAAACTTATCCAACTTGAATATGTTGCTCCGAGTCCTATCCTGCTCGGATATTATAAGAACTTTATCTATCCCGTTTATTGATTCCTTTCACCCACTTAATACTTCTATCATATCTCCCTGCACTCTTTGTCTTTCTAGGGAATGCAAGTTTCTTTAACCTATCCTGAAATGGAAGGTTTCCAAGTCCCGGCATCATTTTTGTCATTCTTCGCTGCACCGACTAGTGAATTTATATCCATTCTATAATAGGGGCACCAGAACTGAACCGCATAATCGAGGTGCGGCCTGACTATAGCAAGATATAGTTGCAATAAGACCTCTGCACTCTTGTTACTTACACTTCTAGATATAAAACCCAATACTCTGTTTGCCTTATTTCGAACATTAACGCACTGTTTTCTAGGCCGTAGGTCCGGTCTTACAAGTATCCCTAGGTCTCTTTCACAAGTCGACTTCTCTAGGTTGATGTTAAGGCTGTATGCATTATAAGTATTTGTTCTTCCAATATTAAGTATGTGGCACTTGCTGGTGTTGAATTTCATTTGCCATTTTTCAGACCACCTCTGCAGTTTTAGATCCTCCTGTAATGCATTTGCATCCTGCCCTGAATTAATTTGCCGCCCTATTTTGGTGTCGTCCGCAAACTTGCTTATGTCACTGCTGATCCCAGTATCTAGATCGTTTATGTAGATTATGAACAAGAGTGGGCCCTGCGGAACCCCACTGGTTACACGGCCCCACTCAGATTTAACACCATCTACGCTGACCCTCTGCGTTCTATCGGTGAGCCATGATTTTATCCAATTTAAAACTTTCCCCTCGATACCATGAGCCTTAATTTTTCTCAGAAGCCTCTGATGCGGTACTGTCAAATGCTTTGCTAAAGTCTTAAGTAAATAACATGGTAATTTTTGTCATTATCTACTACCTCGAAGACTTCCCTTAAAAACGTCAGCAGATTTGTTAGACAAGATTTTCCCTTTGTAAACCCATGTTGAGTCGTAAATTAATTTGCTTTTCTCTAGATGCGATTGGATGCTATCTGCTATAATTGATTCAAGAATTTTTCCCACTACTGACGTCAAACTGATCGGCCGGTAATTTGACGCTGATGCTCTGTCTCCCTTTTGAATATGGGTACCACATTTGCCTGTTTCCACAAGGCTGGCACAACTCCAGTGTCTAATGATTTTGTAAATAAGTTTACGAGGGGTCTGTTAATCTGTTCCCTACACTCTTTCAAGACACGAGGGAAAATTTCATCCGGCCCTGGGGATTTTGTTTATTTCAGTTTATTTATCTTAAGAACATCCTCTTTTCTGATAGTGATATTCTTTAATTTCTCTTCTTCCTTTCCCTTAAATATCAGTTCCACCTCTGGAATTTCATCGCAAATTTCTTCTGTGAAAACTGATAGAAGTAGCTGTTAAATGCTTTGCTTATTTCTTCACTTCCATTTATCACTTCTCCTCTCCCTGACTTTAAAGGCCCAACTTTGTCCTTGACTTTTGTCCTATATACCTGGAAAAACCCCTTGGGATTCGCCTTGGATTCTCTTGCTATTTTGATTTCAGTCTCTTTGCTTTCCTTAGATTTTTCTTAACATTCCTAGATAGTTCATTATACCTATTTCTGAGCTGCTCCTCCCCTCCCTTTAATTTCTTATAAATGCCTTTCTTTATTCCTTTGTCATGTTTAAGTTTTCTGGTCATCCACCTTGGCTCATTCTTATTTGACCTAATTTTTCTGTATGGTATATTTTGTTCTTTTGCTTTATGTAGTATATTAGTGAATATATTATAGTCATGATCAATTGTCATCTTTGACCTCACCCCTTCCTACTGGGGACTGACGTGACTGTTCCCAGGTGACCTCACCTAGGTACCTTCTTAACCCCTGATAATCCGTAATATTTTCCCAAATAAAAGGTCATTTAAACGGCCGATACTTTTCCTCAACTGCTGGTTTTGTCCATATCATTAACATATTGTATACATCTTTATTCTTGACATTGGGAAAGTTATGATGCCTTGCTAACCTTCGTAGGGTATTGATTGCAATACTATAACAAGGTAGAGACAAGTAGGAAACATTATCCGTAGGTTTCATTTCTAATAGATAGCTGGTCCTTATAAGAACATAAGAATGGAGGATACTGCAGCGGGCCTATTGGCCCATACTCGGCAGTCCCGTTTACACCCAACCCCTATTGCTCAAATAAGCATCCAACCTATGTTTGAAGCTATCCAGCGTATTCGAGTTAATGATGATATTTGGTAACTTGTTCCACTCATCCACTACGGTTTCCAAACCAATGTTTACTTATTTCACGACTAAATCTAAATTTGTCTAATTTAAAACCATTGTTACGAGTTAAACATTTCCTCTTCATGGTCTCGAGCAATTTTTATGAAAGTTGTACATAATGTAGCGGCTGCTTTACGAAACGCATTAAATACACCAATATCACCTTGTTTGACAGGTAAATACAGTCTGTCTTTTAATTGGCTGGTACATACCACCATATGTATTTAAAACTACATGATTCAATTTTCTGTGTATTTTATTGAATGGAAATGTATGGGATAGGTACCATACCTTGGACAACTTTTGAGTTCACAATAATTGCTTTTTGGTACAAAGTTTTCTGTTTGATAAACAATTAACAGCAATTATAATTTCCAATATTTTGTTCCAATTCATATTAAGTGTGTTCGTAATTGTCATAATAGTGCCTAAAATTCTGGAATATTCTGCTGATGTAATCCACAGCACAGGCCATAAATCTCTTGTACCACTCACCCAAGTCCATAATACTTGTTTAGCACCTGTTGCTTCCTCAAACCTTTCCATTTCTCTGCTAACCTCCATTATGGACTGGTCTGTGGCCACAAAGACTGTAGAACCATCAGCATATCTCTGTATGGTTACTGTCCCCGTCATATGTTGTTGCCATATCATCTGCTTCATCATATTCCATACTTTAACAAGATATTTTACCCTTAGTTTGATCCACATTATTCCTCTGTATTTTGGCCTCACATGTAGTGGAGGTTTCCTGTGCTGCATTTTCTGAACGATCTGTGGATGTGGTACTTTCTGGACCTACAGCATCCTGGGGTATAGTCTGAACAGGCACTTCTTCCCTTTCTACCCCATGCCGGGTTGTTGCGGGAACCTGACTTACTGTGACCCTTTCTACTCCTTCTTTAACACCTGCCTTTGAGCTGTGCATCTCCCTGGGAAGCCTTCCTCATTAAAAATGTTCACTTTATATATATATATATATATATATATATATATATATATATATATATATATATATATATATATGCAAGATCCGTTTTGTTACACTAACAGCGATCGCAAAGAAATTAGATTCCAGTTAGAATTTTGGAGCAGCCGCCAAGAAAATTCCACTAAACTCCTATATTTCAGATGGGCAGACTTGGATATCTCGAAGGGTTATCAAGCTTGGGGTGAACGGAAATAAGTTAGGTTTGGTTTTTTCCATGCGGTTTTTTGACTCATTCCCTTTTTTCTGGATTGCCTGCTTGGAGCTGGATTGCATGGCAGAGACCTAGCGGTCGAGGATGGCCTAATAACAAGATCTGAGGTTGACGAGTTCCACAACAGTTTAAATAATGCCATACTTAATGCACAAAGGCAGAATATACCATATGCGGATCAAACAACAATGACCCTAAATGGATAAGTAGGTATTTAAAGAATATCATTGGACAAAGAAAGGCTATAGGCAACGAGAATAGATCGTGGTGAAGTTTACCTCCGAGATTATTAAAAGGTATTGGCCGGTAGAGTTAGGACCGAGACAAGAAAAAAAAATGAATTGAAGGTAACAAGGGAGGTGAAGTCAAAACCAAGGATTCTATTGTAACAATGTCCTAAGTTTCCCAGGGATTTAGGTTTATTTTTAAGTGTAACTGTTTGAGTTGAGTAATGTTAATAAATCGAGGACCATTATGATTGGTGCTCAATTACCTTGTGTTGACTAAAACATTGTCATGCATGTCTTTGGTATTATGCTGTTATATGGTGAGTCATATATAGTAACTATCTTATATTTCTCCTCTGAAGTGTCTTCATCCCCCTAACCACCATTCCCTGGGGTCTTTCCCTTGGTGTAGGCCTTTCTAGCCTAACCACAACCTTTAGAAATATCAAGGTAAAGGAGCCAGGTACTTGAGTATAACTACAGGTATTGGCTGTTTGTCTTGTATTGTAAGAAACTTAAGGTATTTATTTATTATATTTCCAGATGCCTGAAGAAACTATGGAAGATGTGGAGACCTTCGCCTTCCAGGCGGAGATCGCCCAGTTAATGTCCCTCATCATCAACACCTTCTACAGCAACAAAGAAATCTTCCTGCGAGAGATCATCTCCAACGCCTCCGATGCTCTGGACAAGATCCGCTTTGAGTCTCTGACGGATCCCTCCAAGCTGGATTCTGGCAAGGATCTCTTCATCAAGTTGGTGCCCAACAAGAATGATCGCACACTCACTATTATTGACAGGTTGGTACTGTTCTGTGCTGTAAGGCGGCTCTAATGAGGAGTTTGATCGTTAGTTACAAGTTTTGTGATTCTGGCGGTAAAATTAATGATAATCAGTTGGGAGGTATGTAGGCTGAAGGTGACCATGTTTGTTAGGCTGGTAAAGACCTTTACCTATTTATGCAGGGCTGTGGAGTCGAAGACAAAACCTTCGACTCCGACTCCTCAAATTTTTATGCTACAGCTTTATTAATGATCTGGACGATATTTAAGAACTACAAAAAGATGATAGGCTTGACTTTCAAAGTTTCAATCAAAAGAAAAATAAATTTATTAAGAATTCAAGATATTAACTAGAAAACACCATTTACATGTATATCTAAAAGTTCGATCTCCTCGCATATGAATTTTGTTTAAGCTCATAATCTGATGTGGATCTAAATGATGATCCTACAATTCCTTTTAAAGTAAAGTTATATATTTATGTACATTAAAGAAATGAATACCTTATTAGGAAAATGGATAAACCTTACATGATTAAGTTATTAAATTAAATTTGCCTTAATCTCACCAAAAACAGGTTGTAGCTAATTGTTTTGTAGTCGAGAGCCTCTTCAGTTTTCAACTAAACAAAATTTGATATAATTCAAAATTTCAAATGGTAAAGAGACTATCGTCCAAAATTATAGTGCTATACTGTGCCTGCTACAATAAATTCATAATAATGCTTATAAAATGGAAATAAATTCTTTTAATAATTTAAGAAAATTAGTGGGATCAGTGGAATCGCTGCAATGAATATGCCTGAGTTCATATATTTGTTCTTAGGAACAGAATAGCTTCAGTCGGAGTCTGGACAATTTTACCGACTCCGACTCCACAAGCCGAAATTTCCTCGACTCCGACTCCACAGCCCTGTATTTATGTAATATTTCTACAATGCTGTGTGAATGAGAAGATATTGTATTGACCCGAACTATCCATTTACAGTGGTATTGGCATGACCAAGGCTGATTTGGTCAACAACTTGGGAACCATTGCCAAGTCGGGCACCAAGGCCTTCATGGAAGCTCTCCAGGCTGGGGCTGACATCTCCATGATTGGTCAGTTTGGTGTGGGTTTCTACTCTGCCTACTTGGTGGCAGACAAGGTTACTGTCATCTCAAAGAACAATGATGATGAACAGTACATCTGGGAGTCTTCTGCAGGTGGCTCCTTTACTGTCAGGACAGATACTGGTAAGTTGACACTGACCAACATGGTGAACTGCTTTTGATAAACTTACTCTTGTATTGATGACCTTTTAATTAACTGAAAAATATCAAAGTTGATTGTTAACTTTGATAAAGGTTTAAATTATACATGTTAATATTTATTGAACTGACCAGTATTAGGAAAGATTTAAATTATTTAAGATGTACTGTTGTCTTCCGAGTGTATATTTAATACTGGTGGAACTTACAGAGGGAGTTATTGGAGAACCACTTGGCCGTGGCACCAAGATCACCCTCCACCTGAAGGAGGACCAGACAGAGTACCTGGAGGAGAGGCGCATCAAGGAGATCGTCAAGAAACACTCGCAGTTCATTGGCTATCCCATCAAGCTGTTGGTTGAGAAGGAGAGGGACAAGGCAAGTGTTGTTAATTATTGTATCCTCTCTGTCGTCCTGTACTCTGGCTGGCAGATTTTTATAGTGCCTACACTAATTGGTCCATAAATCTTGGTCTAAATATTCTACCTGTAATACAACTTAAACTGTACAGTACAGAGTTTATTTTGAATTGGTCTTGGAAAATGTCAAAAGAATTTTCAGAATATTGTGGACTTTTAACGATGCGAGTTCATGCGACTCCTAATATAGTGAACGTGTCCTTAATATCAATACTAATAAATGGTTTATCTTGCAGGAAGTGTCTGATGATGAAGAGGAAGAAAAGGAGGAGGAGAAGAAGGATGAAGATGAAGAGAAGCCCAAGATAGAAGATGTGGGTGAGGATGAGGAAGCTGATAAGAAGGAAGAAGGGAAGAAGAAGAAGACTGTGAAGGAGAAGTACACAGAGGATGAAGAACTGAACAAGACCAAGCCTCTGTGGACCCGTAACCCTGACGACATCTCTCAGGAGGAGTATGGAGAGTTTTACAAGTCCCTCACCAACGACTGGGAGGACCACTTGGCCGCTAAGCACTTCAGCGTCGAGGGTCAGCTCGAGTTCCGTGCCCTTCTCTTCTTGCCTCGTAGAGCTCCATTTGACCTGTTCGAGAACCGCAAGCAGAAGAACAAGATCAAGCTGTACGCGGCGTCGCGTGTTCATCATGGAGAACTGCGAGGAGCTCATTCCAGAGTACCTGAACTTCCTCAACGGAGTCGTTGACTCTGAGGATCTGCCCCTGAACATCTCCCGCGAGATGCTGCAGCAGAACAAGATCTTGAAGGTGATCCGCAAGAACCTGGTGAAGAAGGCCCTGGAGTTGTTTGAGGAACTGATTGAAGATAAGGAGAACTACAAGAAGTTCTACGAGAACTTCTCCAAGAACATCAAGTTGGGCATCCACGAAGACTCCACCAACCGCAAGAAACTGGCGAAGTTCCTCCGCTACCACACCTCCGCCTCTGGTGACGACATCTGCTCCCTGAAGGACTACACCTCCCGCATGAAGGAGAACCAGAAGCACATCTACTACATCACCGGGAGACCATGAACAGGTCCACAACTCTGCCTTTGTTGAGAGGGTCAAGAAACGTGGCTTTGAGGTGATATGACTGACCGAGCCCATCGACGAGTACTGTGTCCAGCAGCTGAAGGAGTACGACGGCAAGCAGCTGGTGTCTGTCACTAAGGAAGGTCTCGAGCTGCCAGAGGATGAGGACGAGAAGAAGAAGTATGAAGAACAGAAGACAAAGTTGGAGACTCTTTGTAAGGTATGTTGAGTATATGTAGATGAGGATTATTGTTGTGTTGAGTAGTATGGGTTGGAATACTGGGAACCTTCCTAATGAGGCTTCCCTTTGTGGCAAGTGTTGATTTATAGACATTTTTACAGTTTCATTACAAAACATTAAATTTGCCACGAGTGCCATACTATTGCTTTCTGTAAGGAACAATATTTCAAACTAGATAACAGGAGTAAGATGTTTACGGCTGATGGTCGAGTCATATTTTAGTAACTGGTTTGTTTTGGGGAAATAATTTATTAATATTTCATAGACGTTTGGTGTAAATGAACAAAATTTTTGAATACTTTGTGGTTGAACGATACTTTATTCTGTAAGGTGACAGTGATGTATAACTACCCTGAGGACTGACAGATGGTTCCCTTGTGTTACAGGTGGTGAAGGACATCCTGGACAAGCGTGTGGAGAAGGTGGTGGTGAGCAACCTTGGTGACCTCTCCCTGTTGTATAGTGACGTCACAGATGGGTGGACGGCCAACATGGAACGCATCATGAAGGCCCAGGCACTAAGAGACACCTCCACCATGGGTTATATGGCAGCCAAGAAACACCTGGAGATTAATCCTGACCACAGTATCATTGAGACCTTGAGACAGAGGGCAGATGCTGACAAGAATGATAAGTCTGTCAAGGATCTGGTCATGTTGCTGTTCGAGAGTGCCCTTCTGTCCTCGGGCTTCACACTCGAGGATCCCGGCGTTCATGCTGGCAGGATCTACAGGTGTGTAACGTGGGTCTTTTGTCTTGTGAAATAATGTTAAATTAGTACCCGTTTCTGGTGTAGTAGAGATTTTTTTTACGGATTAAAGAATTGGTCGACGGTGTAAAGTGAACTAATCCTTATCGCTGCAACTGTTGAGAACTTTGAACGTGAATTACTAAGATTTAATCGTTCTGTGTTTGGGGGAACCGATGAGTAGACCAAAATAATGGTTGGTTTTAACAAATGATGATAACTACTCCGCTTATTACATGAGCAACCTTGATTCTATCATATATTCTGACTTGTCCGACATGCCAAGTTTACCGAAATTATTTTTTGGAGAATTAATGGAATTTTATATTTAAAATTCCAGGATGATCAAACTAGGTCTGGGTATAGAGGAGGACGATGCCCCAGCCGAGGAGACGCGAGAAAGCTAGAGAAGGAGGAGATGCCACCCTGAGACGGCGAGGAAGACACATCGCGTATGGAGGAAGTGGACTAAACTGTGAAGATCTCATAACCTAACCCCCACCATTATCCCCCAAAGTTCATCTCATATCACAGGATCTGCAAGTTTCTCATTGAACTTCTGTTAACTTTCCTTCATTATTCATTTGTATCACAATTATCATTCCATTCTTTTGACCTAAGGCTAATTTAGTTTTTCCATCAAGATATATTTGGTCAGTAATGTTTCATAGTGTTGGGCTCACTCACACATGGTACTCCTACAACACACATAAACTGGTTATAGCAACATACTCTGCCAGGATATTACAACACTTCACATCATCTCTGGCAGGTTGTTACAACTTAATTTATGTTATCACAACTTCTCCGTTATATTTTGGCCGACAGTTTGTGTACTGAAAGCTTGTAAAACTATAGGCTGTGAGCTTGAGCAAGGTGAATTCTACCCCCAACTATGAACATCTGAACAGGAGTATAGTATTGCCCTCAGAGGAGACTTTAAAAGCTATTAGTCTCTTACACTCTACAAGACCTAATTATTTCTCTTGTCCTGTACGGTAATTTGATTTCCTAGAGACGTAAATTTGTGAATAGTCTTGTTGCCCCTGTAAGGTGTATTGCTTTTAGAGGTATAAATTTTTGTAGCCTCTCGCCCCTGTACAGCTACAGTATTTGATTTTCTGGAGATGTAAATTTGTGACATCTCTTGCCCAAGTAAAATATGCGTTGAGATGCATAAATTTGTTGTAGTCTCGCATGTAAAATAATTACCTAGTCTACAGAAAGCCAAAGGGAATAGAGAGCAGGGGCAGGTCCAGGTCTATCAAAGGGATAAAAATTGTAGTTAGCGAACATGGTAATTCCCCTCCTGCTGGGCATTTTGAAGGCCAGTACACTTAATGTTGGCAATTATTGTGGTCACTAATTACTATACAATACTGCATTAAAGAAAGAGTATCGGGATATTCCAACGCCCTGGATCTGTCCCCGAGAAGTTCCTCCCAAGTTCTCATTCCAGTGTTTAACTAAGCATTCCAGTCATTCTAAATTTCATTACTCCTCTTTTGCTGAAGAAAGGAAACCTTATGTTAGATGTATATGTAAATATTATTTTAGGGAAGCGAAAGTTACGTTTTCTAATAAAAGTATCAAAGAATTTAGTTTGTGTTTTGTCTTTACTTTGTTAGCTCACAAGTTGAGCTGATGAAAATGTTTGAAACTATGCATTAAATTTGCAACCTGCTGAATATTGCATGAAATTTGCAAACTGCTTTAGCATTAAATTTGCAAATTATGCCGAGTATTTATGACCTGTTATTCTGGGTCCAATTAATTAACTGATGGTGGAGAGAAATTTGATCATGGTAGAATGATTCATGAAGATTATTAAGGTAAATGGAACTACAGTATAATTGTACACAGTTTCTTGTATGTGTTAGGTGGTGAAGAGAACGAAGTGACTGTATGCTACTGAATGATTGAGAAATGTACATTAATAAAGAATGTAACGAGATAAGAATGGTAAATTATGTACAGTTTAAGAAAATGTACGAAAGTTAACAATTTATACTGCAACATTGATCTATCTTAACTTGTGGCCAATTAGTTCAAATATTACGTACTTGCATGACCCATAAGATGGTATGGTATAAGGTAAAAAAGATAAATTGTTAAAAGCACTTAAATGCCCATAAGTAGAAAGCACTTACGTGATGGCAAGTTATAATTTATTATAAGTACTTTCATGCTAAACGTAAGTACAGTACAGGTTACCGATTCCCACACGGGGTCATTGTTCATAAAGGTGCCCTAGTAGATGCTGCAGGACGTTGCTGACTGACTGATAAGTCTTGTGTATGTGTTGTGACCCTGATCTCGCAGCAAGTCTGGAGTAATCTGACATAAGGGGTTATTTCTGGTCTATGTAGGTGAATTACTGTGACCTGGCTGACAAGATAATTGCTGGAGTCTTGTTCGGTTGCAGGAGTCCGTAGTGACTGGAGGAACTTTAAGAAGTGTGATTTGTGACAGTAAAACCTGGGTAATTAAAGAGGCTGGGATATAGGGGCTTTAGTGAGCTGAAATGAGAATGGTGAGATGCATGTAAGGTGATAGATCAATGAGGACGGGTAGGTATTGAGAGGCAGGCACACTGAACCACCTGTCTCTACCCTTCAAGCAAGGTAAAAAGGTGTACGAGAGCCTACCTGTAAAGGAGAGAGAGAGAGGGGTAGGTCAAGAATGGGAAGGAGAGGAGAGAGGGGTAGGTCAAGAATGTAGAGGGGAGGAGAGACAGGTAGGTCAAGAATGGGAATAATCAACCAGTGTTGTGACAGCACCGAGTGTGAGCTCTTTCAAGACAAGACTTGACCAACACTGGAGCGGGTTCAGGTACATTCAGGAGCCGGTGCATGTCCAGTACTTGCCAACAGTGCGTGACAGAGACGTGACCGATCGCCCGGGAGGCTACAGCTGATCTTTTGGTGAAGAGGATAACTGAAAAGGAAAAGTAATCAGAGACGTGACAGAGCGCCCAAGTGGCTAACAAGCCGATCAGTGGCCAAGATGATAAAACTAAAACTAGAATGTTGAGGGGAAGAGTTTCGGCTACGGAAGTTTGGAATGGGGAACATTCAGGGTTTGAGGTTTGATAATTCTTCGGGCTTGGATTTGGGATTAAGACTCGGTTTAAGTTTTTCAGATTCGTAATTGAGGATTATGACTCGGTGTTCGGAATGATACTTTGACGGCCATATTAAACAACATCTTCCCTTGAAGAATATCGTCATATCGAAAGCCGTATTTTTAAATGCGAAGAACCTTTTAGTGCATCGCACGACAGAGTGTGATGGCATGAAAATGAACTAATTTCACCTAACTTTGAATAGGTGGCTGTGAGCTGCTTTTCGTCACCCTCTTCATAATTATTTTGTTAGTTTTATTGAATATTTCTTGTCAATACGATTAAAGTACAAAGAAACACGTATTGGTAATTTTACAAATGTTTTTTTTTTACACTGTTGGTTTTACGGCCCATATTATGACAGTGCAAAAGTTGTGTTCCGTCCTAATACGACTATCGTGCGTGCTGCCTGTCAATAGTTATTGCCAAAGGCAAGCTGCTGTAGTCATCCCATCTTACTACTCACAGATGATCTTCTGAAGAGGCTCACGCCTGTGACTCCAGCTCAATAGCCTCTTCTCTACTCAGGCGGTGGCTGTGTGGCGGATAATTGTGCCCCAAAATTATATACTTGTTGATTTTTCCAGTATTTTATCTAATTTTGCTTCAAACTTTTCCACCGTCTCCACATTCACTACCCACTCAGGTAACTCAGGTAACGTATTATTCTTCCAATTGTTTATCTAACAATTGCTGCCGTGTGCTCCAAAATAGTTTATTTTCTTCCTCTTCAATGGTTATATTTTTCCTGTTTGGTCAGTTATACCGTTTTTCATCAAGTAATGACGTTTTCTTTTTATTATTCTGGGATGAGGTTGAGGGGCTAGGTTGTAAATTTGGGTCATCGCCCTGCTGGAGGCACGCCTGGTACAGGATTTGTGAAGCACAAATCTTGACCTGATTTGTAGGCATGCTTTCAGCAAAGTAATTGTGGTCCTCATCAATGAAACTGACTGATGGGTACACTTGAGCTGTTCTACTGATGGCCGAGGACCATATCCCTCAGCATTGAAACTTGTTGTAATGCGTATCCATGCTTGTTTCTTGAGTGCAACAAGCTTCCCACAAGTACTTTTATTTTTCAATATTCTCTCCTCTCAATCAAATAAACTAAGACATCTCGCTCTCTCTGTGATGCGGGACCTGGAGAACACACCCCGGCCACAGCTGCTACACCCCCGGCCACAGTTACACACCCCTGGCCACAGCTGCTACACACCCCCCACAGCTGCTACACACCCCCGGCCACAGCTGCTACACACCCCCACAGCTCACACACCCCGGCCACAAGGTTACACACCCCCGGCCACAGCTGCTACACCCCTGGCCAAGCTGCTACACACCCTGGCCACAGCTGCTACACACCCCCTGGCCACACAGCACACACCCCTGGCCACAGCTGCTACACACCCCCGGCCACACACACACCCCCTGGCCACAGCTGCTACACACCCCCCAGCCACAGCACACCCCAGCCACAGCTGCCCACACCCCTGGCCACAGCACACACCCCGTGCCACACACCCCTGGCCACAGCTGCTACACACCCCTGGCCACAGCTGCTACACACCCACACAGTGCTACACACCCACAGCTGCACACACCCCCGGCCACAGCTACACACCCCCGGCCACAGCACACCCCCTGGCCACAGCTGCTACACACCGGCCACAGTACACACCCCCACACAGTTGCCACACACCCCTGGCCACAGCCACACACACCCCTGGCCACAGCTGCTACACACCCCGGCCACAGCTGCCACACACCCCCCGGCCACAGCTGCTACACACCCCTGGCCACAGCTGCTACACACCCCTGGCCACAGCACACACCCCGCCACCAGCTACACACGCCATGCTGCTACACACCCCTGGCCACAGCTGCTACACACCCTGGCCACAGCTGCCACACACCCTGGCCACAGCTGTTACACACCCTGGCCACAGCTGCTACACACCCCCGGCCACAGCTGCTACACACCCTGGCCACAGCTGCCACACACCCCCCGGCCACAGCTGCTACACACCCCCCAGCCACAGCTGCCACACACCCCACAGCTGCTACACCCCCCTGGCCACAGTTACACACCCCTGGCCACAGTTGCCACACACCCTGGCCACAGCTGCTACACACCCCGGCCACAGCTGCTACACACACCCCCCTGGGCTGTTGCCACACACCCCCGGCCACAGCTGCCACACACCCCCGGCCACAGCTGCTACACACCCCGGCCAGCTACACACCTCTGGCCACAGCTGCTACACACCCCGGCCACAGCTGCTACACACACCCCTGGCCAGCGCTACAACACCCCAGCCACAGCTGCTACACACCCCCGGCCGCAGCTGCTACACACCCCAGCCACAGCTGCTACACACCTCAGCCACAGCTGCCACACACCCCCAGCCACAGTTGCACACACCCCCGGCCAGCTACACACACCCCTGGCCACAGTGCCACACACCCCCACACAGCTACACACCCCTGGCCACAGCTGCCACACACCCCCAGCCACAAGCACACCCCAGCCACAGCACACCCTGGCCACAAGCACACCCTGCCACACACAGCACACCCCCAGCCACACAGCACACCCTGGCCACAGCTGCTACACACCTCAGCCACAGCCACACACCCCTGGCCACAGCTGCTACACACCCCTGGCCACAGCTGCTACACACCCGGCCACAGCAGCACACACCCCCGGCCACAGCTGCTACACCCCACACGCCAACACACCCCGGCCACAGTTACACACCCGGCCACACCACACACCCCAGCCACAGCTGCTACACACCCTGGCCACAGTTACACACCCCGGCCACAGCTGCTACACACCCCCGGCAATAGCCCACACACCCAGCCACACAGCCACAGCGCACACCCGCCACAGCCACACACACAGCGTACACCCCGGCCACAGCTGCTACACACCCACAGCTGCCACACACCCCCAGCCAGCACACCCGGCCACAGCGCACACCCCGGCCACAGCTGCTACACACCCCCAGCCACACATGCACACCCCACACAGCTGCTACACACCCCAGCCACAGTTGCTACACACCCAGCCACAGTGTACACACCCCCTGGCCACAGCTGCTACACACCCCCGGCCACAGGCTGGCACACCCCGGCCACAGCCAGCACACACCCCGGCCAGCTGCCACACACCCCCCAGCCACTACACCCCCAGCCAGCTGCTACACACCCCGGCCACAGCTGCTACACACCCCCGGCCACAGCTGCTACACACCCCCCGGCCAGCTACTACACACCCCGGCCACAGCTGCTACACACCCCAGCCACAGCTGCTACACACCCCGGCCACAGCTGCTACACCCACCTGGCTGCTACACACCCCCGGCCACAGCTGCTACACACCCCAGCCACAGCTGCTACACACCCCCGGCCACAGCTGCTACACACCCCCGGCCACAGCTGCTACACACCCCGCCTGGCCTGCTACACCCCCGGCCACAGCTGCTACACCCCGGCCACAGCTGCTACACACCCCGGCCACAGCTGCTACACACCCCCGGCCATGCTACACACCCCAGCCCAGCTGCTACACACCCCCGGCCCAGCTGCTACACACCCCCGGCCACAGCTGCTACACCCCCAGCCACAGCTGCTACACACCCCGGCCACAGCTGCCACACACCCCGGCCTGGCTGCTACACCCCCGGCCACAGCCTACACCCCCGGCCACAGCTGCTACACCCCCAGCCATGCTCTACACACCCCCAGCCACAGCTGCACACCCCCGGCCACAGCTGCTACACCCTCAGCCACAGCTGCACCCCAGCCACAGCTGCACACCCCTGCAGCTGCTACACACCCCCGACCTGGCTGCTACACACCCCGGCCACAGCTGCTACACACCCCCCCAGCCACAGCTGCTGCACACCCCCAGCCACAGCTGCTACACCCCCGGCCACTGCTACACACCCCACAGCTGCTACACACCCAGCCACAGCTGCTACACACCCCAGCCACATGCTACACACCCCACGGCCCGGCTGCTACACACCCCAGCACACCCACACACCCCCGGCCACAGCTGCTACACACCCCGCACAGCTGCTACACACCCCCGACAGCTGCTACACACCCCCGGCCACAGCTGCTTTCACCCCCCATCAGCTGCTACACACCCCGGCCACAGCTGCTACACCCCCGGCCACAGCTGCTACACCCCGGCCACAGCTGCTACACACCCGGCCAGCACACACCCCGGCCTGGCTGCTACACACCCCCGACCAGCTGCACACACCCCCGCCTGACACCCAGCTGCCACACACCCCCGGCCACATGCTACACACCCCGCCACAGCTGCACACCCCGGCCACAGCTGCTACACACCCCCCGGCCACAGCTGCTACACACCCCACGGCTACCACACCCCCGGCCGGCTGCTACACACCCCCGACCAGCTGCTGCACACCCCCGGCCGCTGCTGCTGCACACCCGCCACAGCTGCTGCCACACCCCCCAGCCACAGCTGCTACACCCGGCTGCTACACACCTGGCCACAGCTGCTACACGACCACAGCTGCGCTACACACCCCCGGCCACAGCTGCTACACACCCCGCCCACAGCTGCCACACACCCATGCAGCTGCTACACACCCCAGCCACAGCTGCTCACACCCCAATACAGCTGCTACACCCCCGGCCCTCACACCCGGCCACAGCTGCTACACACCCCGGCCACAGCTGCTACACACCCCCAGCCACAGCTGCTACACCCCCAGCCACAGCTGCACACCCCGGCCGGCTGCTACACCCCCGACCACAGCTGCTACACACCCCCGGCCACAGCTGCTACACACCCCCAGCCACAGCTGCTACACCCCCAGCCACAGCTGCTACACACCCCCGGCCACAGCTGCTACACACCCTGCCACAGCTGCTACACCCCAGCCACAGCTGCTCACACACCCCCAGCCTGGCCTACACACCCCCGGCCTGGCTGCTACACACCCTGCCACAGCTGCTACACCCCCCGGCCACAGCTGCTACACACCCCCGGCCACAGCTGCTACACACCCCCAACACAGCTGCTACACACCCCCCGGCCACAGCTGCTACACACCCAACGGCTGCTACACACCCCCAGCCACAGCTGCTACACACCCTGCCACAGCTGCTACACACCCCCAGCCACAGCTGCCACCCCAGCCACAGCTGCTACACCCCCAGCCTGGCTGCTACACCCCTGGCCACAGCTGCTACACACCCCCGGCCACAGCTGCTACACACCCCTGGCTAGCTGCAACACACCCCCGGCCACAGCTGGCTACACACCCCGGCCACAGCTGCTACACACCCCAGCCACAGCTGCTACACCCCAGCCACAGCTGCTACACACCCCGGCCACAGCTGCTACCACCCCCGGCCACAGCTGCTACACACCCCGGCCACAGCTGCTACACACCCCAGCCACAGCTGCTACACCCCGGCCACAGCTGCTACACACCCCGACCCAGCTGCTACACACCCCGGCCACAGCTGCTACACACCCCCCAGCCACAGCTGCTACACCCCGGCCACGGCTGCTACACACCCACGACACAGCTGCTACTGGCCACAGCTGCTACACACCCCCGACCCGGCGCACACCCCACACAGCTGCTACACACCCCAGGCCTGGCTACCACACCCCCACACAGCTGCTACACACCCCGGCCACAGCTGCTACACACCCCAGCCACAGCTGCTACACCCCGGCACAGCTGCTACACCCTCAGCACCAGCTGCTACACACCCGGCCCAGCTGCTACACCCCGGCCACAGCTGCTACACCCCCGGCCACAGCTGCTACACCCCAGCCACAGCTGCTACACACCCCCTGACCCACAGCTGCAACACACCCCGGCCACAGCTGCTACACCCCGGCCACAGCTGCTACAGTACTGAACTTGGCGCCACCCAAGGTAAACAAACACCCATGATGACTCAGCGGTGGTAGTGGCCGAGGCAGGGAGCACCACAGTCACTCTCCAACTATCATTAATATTTAACATTTAAGTCGTCCTTGAAGGTAAGTTAACACCTGTGAGAGTTAAAATAAGTTACCAGAGACCACACAACAGCAGCTAAGAAGGTAATTCAGGCCCAAGAAGTTGTTAAATAAGGTGAATTAGCATACCGAGTGTCCGGAATGTTTTTTATTATGTTCATTAATGTTTATATGAGTTTTTAATAATTTATATTCGTGTGTACTGTTTGTAGATCATGTAGGTGTGTAGAATGTGATAAAATTAAGGCCAACGGATGATATACCAAAAATGGGTCGATTAATTCCAATTGTTCAATGAAATCAAATAATGGTCCTAGATGAATAAATCAGACTGCCAATCACTTCTCGACTAGTATTTGGTGTCACAAAGTCAAAAAATTGGAAAACTTAATTTAATCTGAGTTAATAGATCAGAGTGCATGTACCTAACCTAACCTAACCTACCTAACTAACTCGACCGTATTTGGTGTCACAAAGTCAAAAAAAAAAATTGGTGCTTCAATTATCCGAGTTTTGTTGTGTTAGGTTAGGTTAAATTCAAATTAGTACATGCACTTGATCATTAACTCAGATTAAATAAGGAGGGTCGATGACTACATTAGTAATTGAAATCGGATCAACGATAAACATTGGCATAACAAGAGAAGAGTGTAGTGTGTTATATATATATATATATATAGTATATATATATATATATAGTATATATATATATATATATATATATATATATATATATATATATATATATATATATATATATATATATATATATATATATATATATATATATATATATATATGTACTATACTTTTGGGTATACTTAATACTGTGTACAGTACAGGTCTTTGACTACAGATAACACCTGTACACAAATGTTTCCATTTGATTAAGTTCTCTGTTAATGACAACAATTGTTATTTTAGGTTTTATTTCCAATGTTGGAAGAACCACGACATTGCCTCTTAACCCATATTCCTCCCCTATTATTCTGCTAATCTGTTAACGAGTTTTGTAATGTCTCTTCATTATCCATGATAAGAGCAGTATCAAATGCCTATTATATACAGTACAGTATTTGATATTACTTTACCATTAACTTTAAGTCCTTCATTATCACTTATAACTTCTCTCATTAATAATTCTGAATATATATTATAGAATGTTGGAGACAGAACACAGCCTTGTATTACTCCTTGTCTGTGAAACAATTAGTAAGTTCATTATTTACTAGCACTGCAGCCTCCTGTTGTCGGTAAAGATTAATGAATCTTAGAGTAGATTTACACACACACACCCGACTCAGCCATCATCGTCACTACTACCGTGTTCTTGTCATCACAGACCATGGCCGGAGACAGCAAACAGATGCCAAAGTTGGACCTTCAGCGAGACTCTATAAAGCTCAGCCAGCCACAGCTTGACTATATGAGGATTGTTGAGAACCAAGTGAGTCTTTACCTTCACTTTTTAATAACTCCTGTTTACACTAATTACTGTTTAACTGATAGATGATGTTAACTGGTGTTCCCATAGTGACTTTACTGATGTTTAGACTGCCATAATTATTTTAATAGAATTTACATGAATATCTGTACTGTATAAATTAAAACATTGAAATCCCCTCGTAAGATCACCTGAAGATTGGGCACCCCAGTTTATTTCACCTGAAGATTAATCCTCCTTTAGTTATGTTGCTAGTGTTAATTTTACTTTTCTTTTTTCCTTGGGCGATTGGTCACGTCTCTGTCACGCACTGTTGGCAAATACTGGGCATGCACCGGCTACTGAATGTACCTGAACCCGCTCCAGTGTTGGTCAAGTCTTGTCTTGAAAGAGCTCACACTCGATGCTGTCACAACATTTTCTGGTAGATTGTTCCAATAGTTCACAACTCTCACTCCAAAAAGCTTGCCCTCACAGTTTTCTGGACTTGCAGCTTCTTCAATCTTGAGCTGTGACCCCTTGTGGGGCGAGCGTCCGCCAGTTCCAAGTAAGGACACTCGACTGAGTAGTGCCCCCTGAGATGCTTATACACCTCAATTAGGTCACCCCTTGCCCGTCTGTAGTATAAGCTAGGCAAGTTCAGGCGCTCCAATCTCTCAGGGTAGCTGAGGTGCCGAAGTGCAGGCGCCAGTCTGGTGGCCCTCCTTTGAATATTTTCAACCAACTGACAGTCCCTAGCATATCTCGGGGACCAGACGGGGTGACAGTACTCCAGATGGGGAAGTACTTCACTCTTGAAGATCATTACGAGGGGCGGACCGTCAAGATATCTGAACGACCTTCTCATAAGACCCATTAATTTATTTGCCTGATTTACCTTCATCTCGCAATGGCCCGAGAACTTCAGCTCATTGTACACATCTAGGTCCTTCTTACATTCAGTCTCAAATAGTGCAGTTTCTTCATCCCGTTGGGACATCTGATACGCCTCCTTACCGTTGGTATGCCCCAGGTGCATCCTCTTACACTTTGTGACATTGAATCTCAGCAGCCATTTCTTTGACCATTCCTGGAGCCCACAGAGGTCCTTCTGCAGCTCTTCACAGTCCGCTTGGTTCTTAATTTCCCGAAATAACTTGGCGTCATCGGCAAGCATTTGTATGGAGGAGTGTACAACGTCAGGCATGTCATTTATGAAACAAACAAACAACAGCTGGCCCAATACACTGCCCTGTGGTACCCCACTTGTGACAGGTACGGATGATGTTTTCGTGCCATTAATCACCACACACTGCTTGCAGTCATGTAGAAAGTCTTCTATCCATGCTCGGACATTTCCCCGAATTCCGTACCCTTCCAGTTTGATCGTCAGCCTTTCGTGGGGTACACTGTCGAAAGCCTCGGCAAAATCTAGGTAAATATTGTCGATATTACCACCCTGTTCCAGAATATGGGTCCAAATATCCAATACCTTTAGCAATTGTGTTAAGCAGGAGCGCCCCGGCATAAAACCGTGTTGGCAATCCTTTACAAGGTTGTTTCGTAGTAGATGTTCCATCGCGGCATCTCTGATAATAATCTCAAGTACTTTACATATTATGCTGGTCAGGCTCACCGGTCTATAGTTATTCGTGGAGTGACAATCGCCCTTCTTGAAGATAGGACTCACATAAGCCACTTTCCATTCACTGGGGACCATTTGTTCGTCCAGGCATTTACAAAACAGGATATTCAGGGGCTCGGCAAGCTCGTTGCTCTACTCTCTTAGCACTCTAGGATGCACCATGTCAGGGCCGGGACTCTCATGGACCTTTTGACTGTTTATTTCTAATACCCTCTTCTGTGAACACAATGTGGGTCAGTGCTGTGTCAAACCGTCTGTCCTCAAACGCAGGAAGGCTAATCGCATCCTCTCTTGTGAACACCGAGGAAAAGAAGCTGTTCAATGCCTCAGCTTTATCCTGGTCAGAATCTGCGTAACTACCATCTTCAAGCCTCAGGTCTGATACTCCTACTCGCGTTTTTAATTTCAACTTTGCATAGCGGTAAAACGCCTTTGGGTTTGACTTGACCTCGCTTGCAACCAGCCTCTGGAACTCCTTTTCTGCCCTTCTAGACTCTATCTTTGCTTGGTTTCTGGCTGTTGCATACATCCTCCTGTCCTGCTCATCATTTGACCCAACCCACGTCTTGAATTTCTGGGTTTTCTTCTAACTTTGTCGACCGCCACATGGTTCATGTGTAGAGATCCCCTCGTATTCCTAGAAGCACTGGGTTTGGTTTTGGTATACAGCTCCTCCCCAACTTACGACCACCCGCACTTACGACCTGCCTCAGTTGTACCAAAATTTGGTAAAATTACGTATTTTCGAGTCCCAAAGTCAGTACACAGACAAAATTTTTGTTTGTAATTCACTTTAAAATGGCTGGCAAGTTTAAAAATTAGAGTTTTGTGGTGCTGAGAAGAAAAAGAGACACCCATTTTAGATTTTCTATGTATTATTTAAGCATTTCCGACTTATGACCATTTCGACTTACGACCTGGATTTGGGTCCCTAACCCCGTCGTAAGTCAGGGAGGAGCTGTATATTTATCGATCAAATGAGTCACTTTACTAGTTATGATATTCAGCGTAGTGTCTATGTTCTTGTTCCTTAATGAGCTGGGCCAGGGTGTTTAATCACTAGGTAAAGTAAGGTTGATGGAGGTGATAGATACTGTTGTTCCTTAATGAGCTGGGCCAGGGTGTTTAATCACTAGGTAAAGTAAGGTTGATGGGGGTGATAGATACTGTTGTTCCTTAATGAGCTGGGCCAGGGTGTTTAATCACTAGGTAAAGTAAGGTTGATGGGGGTGATAGATACTGTAGATAGGTCAGATGAATAGATAAACAGTGTCCACAAGTTCCTCTCGGGGGATCTAAAACAGTTTGTTGTGTTACAGAACCTGGAGCGGGTACAAAAGTTGGCCAGAATGAAGCGCAACAATATCTGGGTCGGCTCCATGTTGGGTCTGGGAGTCCTTGGCATCTACGGTTACTCCATCTACTCCGTCAAGCAGGAGAAGTTCCTCGACGAGCTGGATTAACAACCGACCCCCCCCCCACACCAGAAGGTCGTCTCTACACAATGACGTTCACGATAAGTCATTTCTAGTTGATAGGAGCTGAAGATGAGGATACATTTGGAGGCATCTAGTTCTGGGTACATTCATGTGTTTAACATTTTATGGTGTTGAGTAGGAACATTTTGAGTTCATATTGAGCTTAACAAAGGGTAAATTAATATGTAGTTTGGGCATTGGATTGTATTTTTATTTCTTAATTTTTAAGGATCGTGGGTCTGTGAAGTCTAGCTGTGTGTGTGTGTGTGTGTGTGTGAACAGTTAAGATGCCTGAAAGACACTACGCCATATAGGTGTATCATATGTTTGGTGCATCAGCTGTTTCATGCCATTAAGTTATGCATGAATGAGGAATGGTGGAGATGCAATGATGATGATAATGATGTACACACACAGTGATGACAATGATGTACACACACAATGATGTACACACAATGCTGACAAAAGAATAAATCCCTTGAATCTAGGTCATAATAACACCCACCATTGAAAAAATTTATTCAAGGTTCATACCAAGAAATTCAACTCAGATTTTCATAACTTCACACATTAATCTTAAACTCTTCACTAAGGAATAAGAGAATATATATAATTATGGTAGAGTTTCGGCAAAAGATTAGTACCATTTTGGATATGAATTTTTCTGTAGGTGATGCACACGACTTTGAAAATCCCACCGCTACCATAACTTCCTTTGGTGGTGTGGTGTTGAGGTCATGGTGATTGGAGACAGAGATGACAGTTAACTGGTGTACTGAGTGGTTAACTCTGGGTAGTTAGGTGAGAATTGACTGGTGTATTGAATGGTTAGTAAAAGATGGCAAATGACTGGTTAAATGTCTAGACAGTTAATTGATAAGTCACTGGTTACTGATATGGACAGTTAAACAATGGCTGTCAGGTATAGTGCACAAGTAACTGTGAAAATCACCCAACCAATAGTTATTTGTCTTCAGTACTCAACAACAATATTTGCAATATAACAAATTGATGTTTAATTGGCTGTTGTCATAATGTGGTTGTTTGGTATGAATTGACCCGAACTGACCTCCACCAGCCAGCTGTAAATGAGTATCAGTTGTGACCTTCATTAAAAGATCCAAACACCTGTCTTTCCTGATATGTTTTGTCAGGTATTTGTAAATAAATTTTGTTCATATTAAAAAGATATTTGTCACATATTTCATCATTTCTTTGATCTCCAGTGATGTGTTAAATCTTTCACTCTAGGAAATGTATGTTTTTTTTTTAGATTACCTGAAGATTAGACACCCAAGCTTAGAGCACCTGAAGATTAGACACCCAAGCTTAGAGCACCTGAAGATTAGACACCCAAGCTTAGAGCACCTGAAGATTAGACACCCAAGCTTAGAGCACCTGAAGATTAGACACCCCAACCTAAAGATCAACCACCTTAATGCTCACCTAACCTCACCCCTCCCAAGTAATATTTCAGTGTAAGCATTTTTCATACAGTTGGTCAAGGATCTGGGGTCGAGTTTGATAATTCCTCATGCAAATTATTTAGTCTTTTGGGTCATTAGCTGGACTGACTACTTACATTACAACATTTTGACTCCAATTCATAGTTAAAGGTTACACCAGAATATTGAGCTTAGGAACGTGTTGACCAGACTCACATTGTTGTTATTTACAAACAGTACGATACAGTTGTTTGTTAATTTACACGAGGGAAAAATTCCTAAAATAATCTTCCAGATATTGAAAAATCTGTAAATGGAGGAACAGTTGTAGTGTAATGTGTCAAAAAGTGATCATTGGTTGTTAGTGACAGTAAAGCTGTAGTTTAGTTATAGTGTGGAGTCATCCTCTGTGACTGAGTCAGTACACAACATACAGTACAGTATTGATGCAAGGATAATTAAAAGCACAATATGGACATAATATACTTTTTACTAATAATGTAAGATTATCACTGTGTATAACACAGGTACTGGACCATCGGGGTAGTGATGGGCAGAGTTTGGAAACCTGACATTCAAAGTAGAGGTAAAACGTGATACATAGAAACAAAATAACACAAACACGACAGTTGGGGGTATTGTACACAGCGTCTCACAAGTGATCAGTATTATTTATAACTTGGAGTTTATCACCACTTAACACCTTTGTTCTGGGGCTGACACCTGCCTGCTGGTGCTGATGGTGGGGCTCAACAAGTTACTTACACAGTATCACTCAAAATTTAGTTTATATACTTTGAATTGTGATAATCATGTGAAAGTTTAAACTGTAAATCAGTGATGTTTTTCACTTATGTGGAAGACCAAGTTGGTGTTGAGATGAGAACTGATGTATTACAGCTGTGAAGGAATAGATCATTAAAATACTGTACTGTACATCACTAACTGTGAAGGACTAAGTAATGAACCTTTTCATGATGGTACAGCAGTTGTTGTCTCATCTTAATAAACCTTTCAGTTATAACTTGTGGCCACACTCTCACTTGTTATATTTATTTATTTAAATTTTGTATGTATATTGCATTTTATTTAATATTGAAACACTGTTATTTATGAAACACTTGTGTTGCTCTCAATAGGAGCATCAGCCCCAGAGTGTTACCCCAAGTGGTTGAGTATAACCCACAATACTGTACTTATGATCATGCTCAGGTACCTGGGTCAACATTAGCACCCAAGGACAAATACACCAATATCAAAATATTTCTCATATAATGTATACTGTAAATGATACTGTATGGTACACAAGTGTTAAGGAAACTTCCATGATAAACTCTTCAGTAACACATCTACATAAATATTCCCAATGAGAGACAAAATTGTGATTACTTGCCTCTTTACCGACATTGAGAATAAAAAACAGAGCATCTCACACTGGCTGGCTTCTGCTCTTGTTGTGCCACCAATTAAAGGAAGATGCTTACGACCCACAAACACCTACTGGTATATTGTGAGGCCAAAACATATATCAGTTACCCAGCACCACTATATTTGTGTAAACTGAGTGACCTGACCTGTGATTATAGTGTAAGGGAAGTACAGTATAATATATATCCCGTGTCAAATATTACGGTGTGATGAAGACAATATATAAAACACCACCACGATAAGATGCACAATTAAACTCGATACGTTAATTGGTGCCACACAGGAGCAGAAAGGCCGTCGGTGAGCATAAGTTTGCTGGATATTTACAAAGAAAAATATATTGACGGCTTGTATGAAATATATAACTTTGGAAGAGTACAGTTTATATGGCAATGTATTTATCATTAATCGTGTGTCTTCAACAACATACCCAGCTAGGCCTTCCGTAACACACTCGCTGCACTGTACACTACACCATACTCCTCCCTCACATACTCCATCTTATCACTTCAAATCTCTTGTTGTCATAATACTTGTGTTAAATTATTCCAGGTTATACTGGACTGTAAGCAAACATTTGGCCAACACTGTCATATTTGTTTCGGCGTAAACTGTACAAACAACGGCCCATATAAACTAAACATACACAATAATGTATCCAGTTGGTCGGCCACCACACAATGTTACACTGGACGACGCGCCTCCATCACTATATACGTCCACATACAGTATTACACTCCTGGGTCAAACGTCTCAAAGGTTTGTCTAATAAATATTTCTCTTAACACAAAATGTAACAATTTACCCAAATGTTTGTCTTAAGCTGAAGCAGAAAAGTAACCTCAAAATATTAAGGAGAAAATTATAAAAAAATCTTTGAAAAGCTTGTGTAAGGTAACTCTGTCTCCCAGCAGGTACTGAGTAAACTGTTGTTATATTTCATTATTTTAATGTTTTACGTTAGGCGAGTCATCCAATAATATTCATTCTTGTCACGTGAACCTGTGAGACCCAGACTTCCAGACACTTGACAGCAGCAACAACATTTGTGTGACTAATACTGTTGTATCATCTGTGATCTTGACCACAACACTCACAAAGTTTACCTAATAACAACTGGTAAACCTTTCGTCATCTGCCATCTCGTGTTCCTCCTTCCAAACGCCAGTTTACGCATAGGCAAAATACACACGGTAATATTATGACACAATATTCTTGCCTGAGTTAAGGTAGAAAGATAAAAACAGTTAATATTCATAGTTCATCTGTAATACAAACCTATAACAAGTGACAACATTATATCTCAAAGTAAATATATTAAATGTGTCAAACTTTCCTAAGTCTTAACTTTTGTTTTTGCTCTTTGTAAAAACTTCCAGATTACTTTATTTAGTTCCTAAGAAAGATGATCAACTGGAGGGGTTATTGATGGGCTCCACTAGACCGTCGTCCACTTGTCGAGATATACTGATTTCTGTGCGAGTCTCAAACCTGATCCTCGGGGTCGTGGGAGACGGCTGAGGTGACCCAGTGGCGGCCGGCTGTTGGGTGGTGGTGGTGGTGGTGGTGGGTTTGTGGGGCACGTTGAAAAAGTGGGAGGTAGTTGTGGGCGTGTGGGTGGTGGTGGGAGTGCGTCTGGTGGTGGGAGTGCGTCTGGTGGCGGGCGTGCGTCTTGTGCCTGCCGTACGGATGGTGGTGGGCGTGAGAGCTATGGCGGGAGTGCGGGAGGTGGTTCGTGGTGCAGTAGTGGTAGAACGGCTGCCTGTGGTGGTCACTTCATCAATAGGGTTTGATCCAGTTGTACTGCTCTCCTGTAAGTCACGATATATGTTAACTTTTCTAGAAACTTTTAACACTACGGTATATAGAAACACACACACACACACACACACACACACACACACACACTATCTTCTTTTTTCTCTACCGTTCTGTACAGTAACAAGACAAATTACAGTTCTGTATACTGTACTATATAGCCAGAAAAAAAGGTTAAGTACTTTGGACAGATGAGAGATGGAAAGTCACACCTGTTCATAAAAGCAACAGGTATGTACTTCTGGTACCCTGATGCTGCACTCATAAGTACCAGGTGTTTTAAACTTGGGTAACAGGTGTGCACCTCTAGTTACCTATTATCCTACAAGAAAGCAAAAGGTGTGGGGTTCTGATACCATGTTGCTGTAAATATAAACAAGGTATGCACTGGTAGTCCTCTTTTGTTATACAAATAAGCAACAGGTATGCCTTTACTGTACTGTACCCTGTTATTATACAAAAAGCAACAGGTGTGCACTTGTGGGACAACAGGTGTGTGGTAATACCCTGGTGCCCTTTCTGCCAGGTCCTAGAAGCAGCTGGACTCATTTAAGATTTTCATCAATAATTTAAGGTTTTCCTTTTACAGTAACATTTGACCTTTATTTACTCTGTAGTAAATAAAGATTATAATGTTTAATAAAACCTCTTGGGTACAGCAGTGTTGTTGTAATATTGTACTTAATAATTCTCATTTTGTTTTGGTCTCTTTAACATAACACCTCAATAACCCAGCTTCTACACCTCAGAGGACATTACTCACTCAAATGTAAGAAGACGTTTAGAAATATCCAGATAGATGACAAAACTAAAACTCAAGTTGACAATGGACGTAGAGTACATATAACACTGCACAGTAAGTGATGTGTCAAAAACTAACCTCAGTTGGCCCCCCAAGGTTTTGATCAGGAAACTTGTTGATGGACTTGACTATGTCCTGGTCAGTGACGCCCAGAACACTGTCTATGAGGTACACAATACCCAAGTTGTACACGAAGGCTTGTGGTTCCATTACTTGTGCGTTGTTCACCAGTAAGGTGTTATCTGTCAACACAGTGATGGTTCAGTTAGGAGTTATATGAAGGTTCTTAGAGTTAACAGATGAAAGAAGACAAATTGTGTGAGAGAGAGAGAGGCTTTACAAAAGGCAGTGTGTGGGTAAAGAGAGAAATATCTTACAATATAGGAGGAAATAACACGTTAGGGTGAACACAGGAGAGGACCAGAAGGACTGCATGTGGGACACAATAATGTATTAACAAAGACAAAGCAACATGGAGACTAAATGATGGCTGCCGCCACACAGGAAGCTGCCAGGGTCAAGACATAGACTCCTGCTGCCAGCCACACTGTTACTTAAATTATTTCTGACGTAAGAGGGAGTTAGTTTAAAGTTAGTTGAGTTGATGTTTAAGAGGGAAGTACATTACAGTAAATTATTTATTGGTAAATATGAAAACCTAAATAGATTGGAGAAAATGTAAATTATAATTATTTGAGGATAAATTCTACAAATTCCAAATTATGATTGTTTAAAACTGAGGCAGTTTACTGTAATAGATTATTCTTCAACATAACTTTGTAAGTTTCTTCAGTTTTAACACAAAATACAAATTACACAGACAATTTGGTCAATGTGTTATAAAATCGATATAATTAAACTCCATCTAGACGCTTGTCATAAAAAGTCGTAAACTAAATTTTTAATTACTGTATCTGTAAATCTTTGAAGTGCCTAGAGGTAAATATTGTGTACAGGTGACACACACACTGTACTTAAGTTGATCATGAGACCACAGGTGTAGTATTACCTGGACCCTGGGTGATGGTGAGGGTGTTCTTGGCCAAGTTCTTAAAGGTAAGTCCATCTGTGAGGTCCTTCTCGTAAAACCTGCCTCTCACTAGGTGGTTGAGGACGAGTTTATCCCGGAGAACTTCGTCCAGGAGGAAGGGGTCGGGTGCGTCTGCGTAGAGGGTCTCGGCGATGGCGTTGTCGAAGGGGATGAAAGCCGTGTACTTGAGGGGGTCCAGGTTCTCTGTGTAAGTAAACCACAATACTGACCAACTGTGGAGGACAGAGTGCTCTTTACCTTTTACCTTTGATAATAAATTCACTTAACCAGTGCTACAATTATTATCTTACTCATTAAAAGACATAGAACAAAATACGCTAAAATTTATCAGCTGTCAGCATGTGAACAAAATATTTCTAGTGAAATGTTTGTCCCCTGTTTCAACGTTGCTGACGCTGTTGTCACGTCGTTTCCGATTTATTTAAAAATTTTTTTAGTAACATCAGCAAATGATGAACTGAGCTATTAGCCCCCCCCCCCCTCCCCAAAAAGTAAATCTGACAATTACTCAGTTAATATACAATACAGTGCACAAACAGCCAAGGATACACCAATACTGTACCTAGATGCTTGTTGTTATATAAAGTATAGTGTAGCAGACTGTGAGTGGTGTTAAGCGCACAATTATTGACTTTTTGGACGTGTGGACTGTCAAGGCTAGGCAGCGTCTTCAGTACAATATAGAAATAAACATGTTAGTGATTCTCTCTCAACTATTGTAAGTTTAGTAACCATTTTTTGCCTCATTAAGTCTGTTGCAATTAAACTTAAGAGAGAGGTGATCTGCCTGCCTGATGTGGTGTAGTGAACCTGTGTTAATAATGTGGTCATGATGTAGTAAGGTCAGCCATCACACACTATTAGGGTCAGGTCTTAATAACATAACACAGCAGCAGAAAACTTCATCATTCTACACAATGGATATTTGTAACTGTTGGACATGACTTAAATAATAAGCATATACTGACCAACGTCATTTAATTCTATTATTTAAAATCTATCATAACTGAACTTGACTTAACCTGAGTATTAAACACATCATTATTCTAGTGCTTCGAGTAGGTCAGTTACCATCGTGGCCCGGGAGGAGGTAAGCGAGGTTGGTGAGGTTGAGATACTCGGCAAAGAATGAGGTGCGAGGGTCTTCTTCCAGCTCTCCCAGGAGGTGCGAGAGGAACTGTGAGGTAGGCCAAGGGTCACCCAGCAGGGGAGCTGTCTCCAGGTCTCCATGTTCTGCCTGTAGCTCCAACACCTGTAGATGATCATATGATATAGTACACACACATATACTGTACTGTACATACACACAGTGGCGGCTCGTGAAAAATAAAATGGAGGGACTGCAAGCCTCACACCGAGTCCCCACCAAACAATAAGCATGGAATTTCAGAACAGTACAAGCAGGAACAAAGAATATACACGCCAGTTTAACATCAGTGTTTATCAGAAATGTGAATGGCTCTGTGGTTGTGACGAGGCAAATACTTTATTCTGCTTTCCATGCTTATTGTTTGGTGGGGACTCGGTGTGAGGCTTGCAGTCCCTCCATTTTATTTTTCACGAGCCGCCACTGCATACACACATATACTGTACTGTACATATACTGTACTGCACACACATACTGCACTGTACACACATAATGTAATTCACACACACACTCACATATACTGTGCACCCACATGTACTGTACTGTATTCTTGCATAATACAGTATTGTACACTACTGATAACATCAAAATTTAAAATACTGTCGTAAAAACAATAATAAATGATAAAATTGGATCACATGAATATTAGCCCTCAGCTTGTCACCTGATGATTGACCACCCTACCTGGGAGTTATGTTAAGTTGTTTAATTATTGGGAAATAAACTTGGGGCTTATCTTCAGGTGATCAACAAGCTTTAAGTCACTGAGGCTATATTAAAGTATCTAGAAATGTCACAGTATTTGTGGACGTGTATAAGAAAAGTGTCGACCTTGGTAACGACAAACAGCAGCGTACAGTAAACTTTTCTCACTAGAAATGTCATAAAGAGCTCCCCCCCCCCACCCACACAACCATGAAGCGTAACAAGTACAGTACAGTACAGTACAGTACATCACACACACACTGGGAATACATTAAATTTCACTCATCACAATTTCTCGATAGTTTAGAAACATTTCTAATGACAGGATGGCTTTTAATCCATTGAGTGGCAGGGGATCACGTGAAGATTGACCCCCCAACTAATTTCACCTTAAGATTAACCTAACATTCCTGGTAGTATTAGGGTAAATAATAATTAAGCTTGGGTGTCTAATCTTCAGGTGAGCCCATGTACCCGGTGGTAAGTGTTGTACAATATAACTGTACCTCATTAACATTATTCATGCCCTAACCTGAGTCCTGTGACAGTATCTTGATGAACACCTGATACAGTCAAATTAACAATAGTTTAAGTAACGGGTCTCAAAAGATGACTTAAACTCACGTCACATCAATTATTTATCACACATACAGTCACCCTATGCAGCTCTGTACACTAAACTTATTGCAGCATTTAATAACATTATATTACACAAAACTAAAGTATAATAACAAAACCTAATCAATTAATTTATCTACATTACTCTATAAATAATGATACAATTATAAGTGTTGAGCTGCGCAATGGTCATAGGTTTTGTTACATCGTCTTGGCCACTCAGTACTATACGGCTCTCGTCGGTTTAAGCAGAGAATTGTGGTCTCTCTTATTTTTCACTATCTAAGAGAGACTAAATAAGAACAATTTATAATGAAAACGTGTGTAAAGAAAATATTAAGTGATAATGGTGACAGAACAAGAAAAATATGAAGACAAGTTGTTATAGTGACCAAAAGACAGCCTCTTATTACAGTACAGCCGGGTGAACTAAGGCGGGGGGCTGATCTTCAGGTGATCCATCATAACCAGAGGAAGAGTTACGTTGGTGAGTGATTTATAGTTCATTGTGTTTATTACTTATGGCACACAAGTTTTAACATACATACATACACGTTTACACAGGTAGATGCACTTGGTAATAATTAATCCAGGTAGATTGAACGTAGATAAAGGTAAGGTAGAGATAGATTAACACTCACTCTGTCATAGTCGACAAAGAGAAGGTTGTTGACGGCGTAGGAACGACCTCTTGATAGTGGCGTCTCTGTCTCCACCACCACCTCCACCCCATTACCCAGCAGCTTACCTGTAGGTGTGTGATTGTTAATTAACATGATATACTCATAACAACGATAACAACAACGGCGACAAAAATAATACCAACGCTGAAAATAATATGTAACTAGACAAAGGGAAAATGACAGACAGACACTTCAATAGTTTCATAGCGGCAAGACGCGTAAGAAATGACTGCCCTTGACATTCTACAACGTGTGTGTGTGTGTGTGCAATCAATGGTAAGCAGTCAGGCAATTCGACCAAGGAGTGACCAAAGCATCCAGCTAGAGAGAGAGGTGAGTGGTGGAGGGAGTGGATGGAGGGAGTTGAATGAATGAGGGAGTGGAGGGAGGGAGGGAGTTGAGTGAGTGAGGGAGTGGATGGAGGGAGTTGAATGAGTGAGGGAGTGGATGGAGGGAGTTGAGTGAGTGAGTGAGGGAGAGTTGAGAGCACAACAGTAAGCAGGAAAGACCACAGCAGCGTATCCTAATAGTCTTTATTGACCCCTGAGTGTGTGTGTCTGTCTCTGTTTGGCACTCTCTCTGTTTGCCTGTCTGTCTGTCTCTCTGTTTGCCTGTCTGTCTGTCTCTCTGTTTGCCTGTCTGTCTGTCTCTCTGTTTGCCTGTCTGTCTGTCTCTCTGTTTGCCTGTCTGTCTGTCTCTCTGCCTGTCTGTTCCTGTTCTTCGGTTTGCCCTGTTCTGCCCTCTTTCTCTGTTTGCCTGTCTGTCTCTTTCTCTGTTTGCCTGTCTGTCTGTCTCTCTGTTTGCCTGTCTTTTCTGTTTGCCTGTCTGTCTGTCTCTGTTTGCCTGTCTGTCTGCTCTGTCTGTGCTCGGTTCTTCTTTTCTGTTTGCCTGTCTGTCTGTCTCTCTGTTTGCCTGTCTGTCTGTCTCTCTGTTTGCCTGTCTGTCTGTCTCTCTGTTTGCCTGTCTGTCTGTCTCTCTGTTTGCCTGTCTGTCTGTCTCTCTGTTTGCCTGTCTGTCTGTCTCTCTGTTTGCCTGTCTGTCTCTTTCTCTGTTTGCCTGTCTGTCTGTCTATATGTCTGTCCATCCGTCTACCAAGCTACACAATTTCATCCACTGGGAGGAGGGTAGAGGAAGGTAAGGCAGATTAGGTTAGGGTAAGGAAGAGGGGTTTGAGGTGAGGTATGAGGGAACACACACACACACCACCGTTTACCCGTTAACAGGAGACGTTAGGGCCAATGTATCTCTGTTAACGGTAGTCTCTCTATTTGGCTGTCGTGTTATTAGCCAGGTGTGTGTGTGTGTGTGTGACAACTTAAGCGTGTCAGTTAGTGAAAGACCGACTCACATACACGTACACACACACACAAAGACAGATAGACAGAAATATTTATAGGGTAGACAGACTAAGAGAGGGAGGCAGACAGACAGACAGACAGACAGCAATACAACAGACTGATACAGAGAAAGGAGAATGAACAACAATAAATCCAGAATCAAGTGTTCGAACCCTCAGTTTACAACCTTGGCTAGGGCGAGTTATGCGTCACTTGGCCAGCACAGGTGTTAAAGGCATTGAACATTGTGTAACGAGATAGTAAACAACAAGGACAACTTACTGAGGAAAAACACGACACCGAGAACCTGAAATAAAATGATCCAACACTAAAGGCAGATGAGTTATAAAAAAAAGTAAATCAGGGAATCGGACAAGTTAAAAAACAAACATCGAATTTCGCGCCAAAATTTTGACATTAAATGAAAATGAAAAAAATGGCGCCAAAATATTGAACTTTTTTTATGATATTTTACCTGGATATTGGCGCCAAAATGTCACATTGTTTACATCTCAAAATGAAGCCAAAACCTTACATTTACGAGCAAAACACGTCACCAAAAGCAAAAACCAGTAAGTTATACACAACAAGTAGTTATTATCACCAGTAAAATAGTAATAAGTGGAGCAATTCGTTAAAAAAAAAGTTTGGCGGGAAGGTCAGACGTAAACACAAATAAACCAAGAATTCTTAAACTTTACGACCAATAAACTTGCTAAACCTTTACAAGTCATAATTATTACCATTAAGTATACATTAACAATATTATAAGTCATATTATTATCGTTTATAAGCCTTATTACCATTGATATTTATATGTGACGAGGTGTAAACTGTACTAAAGTAAGGTTAGCGTAAGTGTTAGGTTAGCGTAAGTGTTAGGTTAGTGTAAGTGTTAGGTTAGTGTAAGTGTTAGGTTAGCGTAAGTGTTAGGTTAGTGTAAGTGTTAGTTGTAGGTTAGTGTAAGTGTTAGGTTAGTGTAAGTGTTAGGTTAGCGTAAGTGTTAGGTTAGTGTAAGTGTTAGGTTAGTGTTGTTGAGTTAGGTTTGGTTATTGTTAGGTTAGATTAGGTTAAATGATGTTGGGGAAAGAGAGATGGAAGGTGGGTAGGTGGGACGGGTGGCTGGATGGAGGGAGGTATTGAAGAATGGATGGGTGGTTAAAGGGGTGGGAGGGTAGAGGGTAGAAGGGAGGGAGGGAGGGAGGAAAGGGTAGGAGGGAGAGAGAAACAGCATTGTCTCAGATCTCCACCACAAGGACATCAGCTTCTTGTAGTCGTTCCTCCAACACCTTCACCTCCTGAAGATTCTCGGAGTCTCGTATCCTCACTACTTCTCGTACGTGAACATGTGTGTGTGTGTCTGGAGCACTGAAGATGGTACACAAGAACAATGGCTGCAAACTGACGCTGAGACTACCTTAACTAGATACCTTCACTTAACACTGAGACTACCTTAACTAGACACCTTCACTTAACACTGAGACTCTACCTTAACTAGATACCTTCACTTAACACTGAGACTACCTTAACTAGACACCTTCACTTAACACTGAGATTCCACTAACTAGATACCTCTACTTAACACTCTGAGACTTACCTAACTTTGTGAGACACCCCCTCACTTAACACTGAGACTCTACCTTAACTAGATACCTTCACATAACACTGAGACTCTACCTTAACTAGATACCTTCACCTAACACTGAGACTCTACCTTAACTAGACACCTTCACTTAACACTGAGACTCTACCTTAACTAGATACCTTCACTTAACACTGAGACTCTACCTTAACTAGATACCTTCACTTAACACTGAGACTCTACCTTAACTAGATACCTTCACCTAACACTGAGACTCTACCTTAACTAGACACCTTCACTTAACACTGAGACTCTACCTTAACTAGATACCTTCACTTAACACTGAGACTACCTTAACTAGACACCTTCACTTAACACTGAGACTCTACCTTAACTAGACACCTTCACTTAACACTGAGACTCTACCTTAACTAGATACCTTCACTTAACACTGAGACTCTACCTTAACTAGACACCTTCACTTAACACTGAGACTCTACCTTAACTAGAGAGGTTATGTGAGAGAATGAGCAAAGAACTAATCTCTCTCTCTCTCTCTCTCACACAGATAAGTCAGTTAATTAAATTCTCTCAGACAGGTTCTTGGTTGCGGTAGACCAGTTAATACATAAATTATTCAGTATTTATAAAACAGGTTAATTAGTAAACACTAACTCTAACCTAACCGGCGTTTATGGGAGTATAACTTAACCTAACCTAACTATAACTTAACGTATCCTAACTTAACTACACCCTCACCCTAGATCACTCTACACACTCACCCCCACTCACCCTCATACTCTACACTTTCACTGTTGTAACAGTAGTGTCCCCTCCCTCACGCCCTCATTCTCTCCCCCACAACCCCTTCTCTCCCCCACAACCCCTTCTCTCCCCACACCCTCCCTCTCTCCACCCTCCTCTCTCACACCCTCCTTCTCTCCCCACACACCCTCCTTCTCCCCACACCCCCTCCTCACACCCTCCTCTCTCTCACACTTTCTCCTCACACCTCCTCTCCCCACACCCCTCTCCCCACACCCTCCTTCTTCACACCTCCTTCTCACACCCTCCTCTCCCCCACACCCTCCTTCTCTCCCTCACACCCTCCTCTCCCCCACACCCTCCTTCTCCCTCAGGTAACCGGTACACGCTCGTAGCCACACCTGCTGTACTCATTATACCAATGGCAGGTTACCTTATAAACAAGTCTGTGTGTTTTGTGAGGGGTGGCGTGTGGTGAGTGGTGACGTGTGGTGAGGGGTGACGTGTGGTGAGGGGTGACGTGTGGTGAGGGGTGGTGAGGGAGGAGACAGGGTGATAGATGGATTATATTTCATTGCCACAACGACCATGACAACTGTAGTGAAAGTTGTATCGTATGACATGAAGGATAAAGGTATGGTAGGGCAGCTCCAGGCATGAATACTCGACTAAATAATGTCCTGTTTAAGCCACACCTTGACCACCTGTAATATAAGCTCGGTAACTGCAGCCGTTCTAATCTCTCTGGGTGTTTCAGGTGCCGTAGTGTGTTGATTAATATTATTCAGTGAACAACAACCACCACATTTGTACAGAGTAACGTTACAAGTTTATCTATAAGTAAAAGTAAGAAAGTGACGATAGACGCTCAATAATCAAAGAAAACGGAGGTGTTGAGGGTTAACTAACCTAGACCTCCTGACCCACTGTATATGGCGGACCCTCGCAGCCTCTAGTCTGTTCTGACAACTAATAATTTTCTTTTCACCTTGGTATCAATTTTACCCCAAACAATGTGTTTCTTTTTTGTTTAAATTTTACTACTTTATATACAGTATGTATCGTATTCCAGGGTAATGGTTAGCCAGTGCAATTGGCGAGTTGTCCGGTTTTCTTGGACTATTCCTTGACATTGAATAATGCAGCTCGTTAACTTAGGGTGTTGGCGACAGCTTCTACACCCTAAGGAAATTCACGCCTAGGTGGCCATTGTGTCGGCCATCCTCGTTACAACAGGGGCGACCATTATATTATGTATGTATGTATGTATGCAATTATTTGGATTTCTGTTTTGGTGGAAATGTTGTTGAGATGTGTGTGTGTGTGTGTGTGTGTGTGTGTGTGTGTGTGTGTGTGTGTGTGTGTGTGTGTGTGAGAGAGATAATCATTCACTCACGGTAATAAGACTTTTTTCTGTTTCTCAACACAACTTGCCTTACAGTACGTGCACAGCCTTTCCCCACACTCCCTAACCCTACCTCACCCCACACCTCCCCTAACCCTACCTCACCCCCACACCTCCCCTAACCCCTTAGATGGAGAGATCTACCACCTCAACTTATTCAACGCCACCACCACCACTACCTCCATCATCACCACCATCACCACCACTATCACCACCACTACCACCACCACCACCACCATCACCACCACCACCATCACCACCACCACCACCACCATCACCACTACTACTACTACTACTACACTCACCACCACTACCATCACACCACCATCACCACTACTACTACTACATCACCACCATCATCACCACCACTACCACCACCACCACCACCACCATCATCACCACTACCACCACCACCACAATTAAACAGGTTCAACAAGAACCACTTTAACCAGACCTTCAAACAGTGTTCACCACCACCACCTCCCCCTCTAACCAGTTACTGGGGGGCGTGGCCACGTCCTTGAAGGGGGCAGTGTAGCCCCTCCCCAAATACTACCAACACCTTCCTCCCCTCACTCACTGATCACCCCTTCCCCACCTAAGAGGACCACCCTCACCCCCACCAGAGGACCACACCACCTCCCCCCCACCAGAGAGGACCACCCACCCCCCCCACCAGAGGACCACCCCTCACCCCCCACCAGAGGACCACCCCTACCCCACCAGAGGACCACCCCTCACCCCCACCAGAGGACCACCCCTCACCCCACCAGGACCACCCCCTCACCCCCCACCAGAGGACCCCCTCACCCCCACCAGAGGACCACCCTCACCCCCCCACCAGAGGACCACCCCCTCACCAGAGAGGACCACACCCTCCGACAGACCACACTGAGCAGAACAGGTGGTGAAGGTGTAATGATTCACTTAACAGTAACGGTATGTAACCTAACCTAACCAAGGAGTCGAATATTAACAACAGGAGCCACATATTAACAACAGAAGCCACATATTAACAACAGAAGCCACATATTAACAACAGGAGCCACATATTAACAACAGAAGCCACATATTAACAACAGAAGCCACATATTAACAACAGGAGCCACATATTAACAACAGGAGCCACATATTAACAACAGAAGCCACATATTAACAACAGAAGCCAAATATTAGCAAGAGGATCAAGCTGCTGTGGCGCCTCTCTGATGTAGGTGTCAGTGAACAAGAGTTAATGCCTTAGTTAAACTCGTCTTACTAATGCACTGTTGAATATAATATACAGGTGGCATACAGAACCTTAACTTGTACCTGTTTCTACCTGTACCTACCTGTATATATACCTATAATTGTACTTTTGTTTACCTGTATTTGTATATACGTTCATCTTTACCTATAATTGTACCTGTAACTGCACTTGTACCTGTATCAAAATTAACACCTACAGCTTGGCTATAAATTCTGAATAACTGAAAATATTAGATGAACGAACATAAAGATCAAGACATTAAGATACACAGACAAAGAAATAGAAGAAAAAACAACTATTAAGAGTAAAATATCAGGCATAAATGAACCATAACAAAATTTGTACGTCATCTTCCTTATCGAGTCATCCAAGTTGGCAGCCAAATGACGACCTTCTCCCAAAATCGTCAATGTTATCTTAAATTCATCTCAGTTTTCTCTTATTTCATTATTCCTTTTTCTGTGAAGAGGAGAGTAATTATTTGGGTGTTTTTTTTTTATATATTTACTTCCTGTCAGTAAATGTTAAATATACTGAGAGAAATATTTGTGTATCTGACGTGTTTATAATTTCCAAACTAAACCATTTTTATGTATCAATTTCCTATTTTATTTATTATTTTCTATCTAAATGATTTTATATATATATATATGAATTGTTAATGTTATTTTTAATTTTCTAAGTTGATCATTTTACTTCGTAGGTCCCGGATGCTGAGAGATGATGACGTCACCCGGCACGATAGTTTGGACTCAGGTCTGTAATTATCTTGTACATTTATTTAGCTGTTGTACGTAAAGTAACTAACTTATTGACGCGACGGGGGGGGGGAGGACACACCTGATAGAGAAATATGTGTTATGTGTTAGTGGTAGTACATATCTAGTGACGTACACACACACATTAAACACTTGTTATTTTTCAAGTGTAATTTTTGTCTTTACTCACCTGCCGTTAGTCGTCAGGAAGAGTCAAACACAGCTTATGTGAGAAGGTATATAACTGACTCACCTTACCTCACCTGACTCACCTTACTACTACTACTACTACTACTACTACTACTACTAATAATAATAATAATAATAATAATAATAATAAAAACAGGCCAAATCATTTATCGTTAAGAAGGCCGTCAATAAAACACCCTCCGCCCCCACACGTACTGTATGTCCGTCACACACAATGGACAAGGTCAACCCTGTGTGAAGACGAGAAAAAAGTGAGAGGTGTGAGGGTTAAGAGGAAGAAAAAATGAGACTGAGAGGAGTGGATCACCTTGTATACACAACCGATAAAAGCGCGCCAAATATCTTCCCGCTGGACCAAATATTATTACTGTTGTTGTTATTGTAGGGAATTAAGGTGGTTTAAATCACTAGAGAGAGAGAGAGAGAGAGAGAGAGAGAGAGAGAGAGAGAGAGAGAGAGAGACTGGGTCACCTTGTAAGCCTGGCAGTATCGTTCGTCTCAGCTGATAAAGGCGACACACACTGACAACCATTAGCCATAACCTCATTCATCACCCAAACCGGTTTCATTTATCATTATACATCTTTTTTATTATATTATAAGAATATATTACATTATATTATTTGTATATTATCGAGAAAAAGAGAGATTGAAATACTAAATACGTCTGGCAGCCATGTAACCGTCAGTGATAATATTGGTTAAAATATCGTATGACTGACTAACATAATCTAAACGGTTTATATTATTAAATAGTATATTAATGTTACTGGTTTATAATTACATGGTGTTTTATCAGATACTTAAGTGATAAAACTAAGAGAAGTTAACATCGTACGTCTGACACCATCTGTCTGTCGCCTCATAAAAACTTATTAGTAAACACAATAAACACTACGTCATTATTATTAAAAATGGTAATATTATTAACTATTATCTTAACTGGTGATATTTTCCTCTATACAAACTGTGGCGCCTTATTAGTTAAGAAAGAGAAAGGAGTCCGTAACCTTGTACAGCTGGCAACGTCATCTATCAACCAGCTGGGAAAAGCGCGCCAAATCTCGCCTATAACGGAGTATCGTAACAACAACAACATCTTTGCCATTACTACAACCTTGTATTTTGTTATGATTACAGCCTCTGTGATAGTGAAGGAGACAGAGACAGACAGACAGGTAAAAAGAGTGAGATTGAGCTACAGAGAGAAAGTGTTGAGTGTAGTCAACAATTATGTCACAACAGGGGAGGTGAGGGGGGAGGTAAGGGGGGAGGTAAGGGGGGGGGAGGTGAGGAAAGGTAGGAAAGAAGGGGGTGATCTTTGGCCTGAAGGGTGGGTGTGGCCCTTTAACCCCCCCCCTCCCTCCCTCCCTCCCGGCGTGGTGACAGATAGGGGAGAGAGTGTGAGGGGGGAGGAAAGGAGGGGTGCTAATCGCTGCTAGTGACATTAACACCAGTTAGGTTAGGTCAGGTCAGGTCAGGTCTCCTACATAATAATTTACTGGTTTCAGGTGAATGTATCAGCAAGTATAGTGTAATTTTTCCCGCCATTCTGGATGATATGTGGCACACCTCCAGTCACCCAGTTAGATGTGAGAACGGATCTAACTGACTCACTTAAGTTACGACACAAAGATGGATTATCAAAGGTTAGGTGATGTGTTATGGTGTTATGTTAGGTTAGGTCAGGTTAGGTCAGGTTAGGTTAGGTCAGGTCAGGTTTGTGGTGGCGAATCACAGTTTAAGGAAGATTCTTCAAGTTACATACAGTTGTTCTTCCTGTCACTATATCAGTGTTGTGTTGTTGACCTTGTGTGTGTGTGTGTGTGTGTGTGTGTGTGTGTGTGTGTGTGTGTGTGTGTGTGTGTGTGTGTGTGTGTGTGTGTGTGTGTGTGTGTGTTTGTCAGGTGTGTGTATGTGTGTGTGTGTGTGTGTGTGTGTGTGTGTGTGTGTGTGTGTGTGTGTGTGTGTGTGTGTGTGTGTGTGTGTGTGTGTGTGTGTGTGTGTGTGTGTGTGTGTGTGTGTGTGTGTGTGTGTGTGTGTGTGTGTGTGTGTGTGTGTGTGTGTGTGTGTGTGTGTGTGTGTGTGTGTGTGTGTGTGTGTGTGTGTGTTTGTCAGGTGTGTGTATGTGTCAGGTGTGTGTGTGTGTCAGGTATGTGTCTGTCTGCCCGTGTCCAGGTGTGTGTGTGTGTCAGGTGTGTATGTGTCAGGTGTGCATGTGTTTGTCAGGTATGTGTCTGTCTGCCTGTGTCAGGTGTGTGTGTGTGTGTCAGGTATGTGTCTCTGCCCAGTGTCAGGTGTGTGTGTGTGTGTGTGTGTCAGGTGTGTGTGTGTGTGTGTGTCAGGGGTGGTAACGGTGCGGGGTCAGGGGATCAGGCCGATTTACAAACTCTCCCTCATACCCGGAGGGAGGAAGAGGGGAGGAGGAGAAGGAACAATGAGATGGCGAGGGAGGAGGGAAGGAGAAGGAGGGAGGAGAAGAAGGAAGAACAATGAGAGGAGGAGGAGAAGGGAAGAACAATGAGAGGAGGAGGAGAAGGGAAGAAACAATGAGAGGAGGAAAGAAGAAGGAAGCTACAATGAGAGGAGAGGAAGAACAATGAGAGGGAGGGAGGAGAAGGAGAAAATGAGGGAGGAGGAGGAGAAGAAGGAAGCACAATGAGAGGAGGAGAAGAAGGAAGAACAATGAGGAGGAGGAGGAAGGAAGAACAATGAGAGGAGGAGGAGAAGAAGGAAGAACAATGAGAGGAGGAGGAGAAGAAGGAAGAACAATGAGAGGAGGAGGAGGAGAAGAAGGAAGAACAATGAGAGGAGGAGGAGAAGGAAGAAGAATGAGAGGAGGAGGAGAAGAAGGAAGAACAATGAGAGGAGGAGGAAGAAGAATGAGAGGTGGAGGAGGAGGAAGGGTTGGTGCCCACCTTGCAATACCAAGATGGGAATGAAGCAACCAAGACATTCCTAGAGAGAGAGAGAGAGAGAGAGAGAGAGAGAGACTTGGTGATTTCTCCATAATAAATCACCAACAGGAAGCATCAAGATAAATCACCAATACATGATATAAATTTAAAAAAAATCACCATCACGACAATGTCTGTACTGACCACTACAGTAATCACCACTACAGCAATCACCACTACAGTAATCACCACTACAGTAATCACCACTACAGTAATCACCACTACAGTAATCACCACTACAGTAATCACCACTACACCCGACAGTAATCACCACTACAGTAATCACCACTAATCACCACTACACGTAATCACCACTACAGTAATCACCACGGTAATCACCACTACAGTAATCACCACTACAGCACTCACCACTACAGTAATCACCACTACAGTAATCACCACTACAGTAATCACCACTACAGTAATCACCACTACAGCACTCACCACTACAGTAATCACCACTACAGTAATCACCACTACAGTAATCACCACTACAGTAATCACCACTACAGTAATCACCACGGCAGCAATCACCACGGCAGTAATCACCACTACAGTAATCACCACTACAGTAATCACCACTACAGTAATCACCACTACAGTAATCACCACGACAGTAATCACCACTACAGTAATCACCACTACAGTAATCACCACTACAGTAATCACCATACAGCCTCACCACTACAGCACTCACCACTACAGTAATCACCACTACAGTAATCACCACCACAGTAATCACCACTACAGTAATCACCACTACAGTAATCACCATCACCACTACAGTAATCACCACTACGGTAATCACCACTACAGTAATCACCACTACAGTAATCACCACTAATGACAGTAATCACCACACTACAGTAATCACCACTACAGTAATCACCACTACAGTAATCACCACTACGCCTCACCACTACAGCACTCACCACTACGGTAATCACCACTACAGTAATCACCACGACAGTAATCACCACTACAGTAATCACCACTACAGTAATCACCACTACAGTAATCACCACTACAACTCACCACTACAGTAATCACCACTACAGTAATCACCACTACACAGTAATCACCACTACAGCACTCACCACTACAGTAATCACCACTACAGTAATCACCACCACAGTAATCACCACTACAGTGACCACTACAGTAATCACCACTACAGCACTCACCACTACAGTAATCACCACTACAGTAATCACCACTACAGCACTCACCACGACAGTAATCACCACTACAGCACTCACCACGACAGTAATCACCACTACAGCACTCACCACTACAGTAATCACCACTACAGCACTCACCACTACAGCACTCACCACGACAGTAATCACCACTACAGCACTCACCACGACAGTAATCACCACTACAGCACTCACCACGACAGTAATCACCACTACAGCACTCACCACTACAGTAATCACCACTACAGTAATCACCACTACAGCACTCACCACGACAGTAATCACCACTACAGCACTCACCACGACAGTAATCACCACTACAGTAATCACCACTACAGTAATCACCACTACAGCACTCACCGCCTTTCCTGGTGAACTTGATGACTCGTCCCCCTAGAGTGGTTAGTTCAGCCAAGGAGGGAAGGTCGTCTAACGCTATGTTGCCTCGGATGAAGTGGTTCAGCATCACGTCTTTGGTGAAATTGTGGACCAAGAACGGATTGAAGCCCCAGTCTATTGGGTAGTAGCTGTAGAAGGCGCTGTCGTAGGGTACTAGTGCTGTGTATCTGCCGGCTGGGGAGGAGGGAAGTTGTTAGTGGTGCTTGTAAGACACTACACTATAACATGATGCTTAGTTCATGCTAAAATGCCCAATTCACGGAATGGGCAAATTCACAAATGAGGCATAACAGGTACACACAGGTATATATACACACAGGTACACAAACACAGGTACAGACATAACATAAACAGATCACAACTCACTGTCTCGGAACTTGTTGGTCAGGTTAGCGTCAAGGAAGTGATGCAGGAACTCTGAGCCGGTGAAGGCGGTGTTCTCCTTGAGCGACTCTAAGAATGAGTCGAGGAACGGCCCTTCATCGTTCAGGGGCTGAGCAGTTGATCCTTCGAACTCTGAGAACTCGAAGGTTGGTGTTAGCGACGAGGAGGACGAAGAGGCGACGTCATCTTCGAGTACTAGATCGCCGGATATGGTCGGGGCGATCTGAGACGTGGCGAGTACAGGTGATTCAAGTTTGGTGCGACGGAAGGTGTTAGTATCTGATGGTCGACCTCCACGACGGGGTTTGAAGGTGGCAAACCGGTGCGTGAGGGCAGGGAGGCGTGTGGTGACCTCTGTGTTGACCTCTCCCTCCTGCTCCTCCTCAGGGACACTTGCTGAAGGGGATGGTGATGATGCAGGAGGTCGTCGGCCAGCTCCGGGTCTCTCTAACACTGGCAGGGAGTTCTCGATGACGTACACAACACCATCACTAAACTTGTACTCTTCTCCCGTTAGCCTTACACCGTTTACCATTGACCCTCCTGTTAACACACCTCCACTTAGATACATCAACAGGTACAGTCGGAGTCAAAAGTCCTGAACACTTGACAGTATTTGGCATGTAAATATCCAAAGATCTTAGGTTTTAAGGAGAGTTTTATCCGATTTTGTGGTTCAGGCATAATATAAGTAGTGTTATTAGTATATCCGAATCATATAACTCACAAGTAGATGACAGCTACTGCTAATTGTTCAACACCTTTTGACCCCGACTGTACATGCATTAGTAGATATAGATAAACAGATAGATAGTGGATAGGTATTTATTAAGTAAAATCATCATCAAAGTGAATATTGGGTAAGTGTGAGTGTGTGTGTGTGTGTGTGTGTGTGTGTGTGTGTGTGTGTGTGTCAAGAAGCAGTAATGAGTAATATGAATAATTTAGTAACAAGTGGCATACATCAGTAACCAACCCACATGTGGCAGATTTTTTTTTACCCAAGTTGAAACTGTTGAACCGATTAACTGAACCCGGAAATAGACAATGGTATAGTAGGCTTAGTTGGGGGTAGGGTAGGGTAGGTTTGGTAGGCAGGCAGGGCAGGGCAGTAGGGCAGGAGTAGGCAGGGCAGGAGTGGGGTAGAGCAGGCAGAGGGTAGGGCAGGGCAGATTAGGGCAGGGCAGGCTAGAGATTAGGGTAGGCAGGGCAGGCCAGGGCCAGATTAGGCAGGGCAGGCCAGGGTAGGCAGGGCAGGGGCAGTTAGGCCAGATTAGGAGGGGCAGGGGCAGGCCAGGAGTAGGGTAGGCAGGGGCAGGCTAGATTAGGGTGGCAGGGCAGATCAAGGGTAGGTTAGGCTAGATTAGGCAGTTGTGTAGGGTAAGAAGCCAGATTAGGTTAGGGCAGGCTAGGCATTAGGCCAGGCAGGCTAGGGTAGGGTAGGCAGGTTAGGCTGTAGCCAGACTGGCCAGCCAGGCAGGGTTAGGCAGGCCAGGCTAGGATTGGGATTAGGCTGGAGGTTAGGCAGAGGGTTAGGCAGGTCTGGGTAGGAGGTTAGCTTAGTGATTAGGGCAGGCTTAGTTAGGGGTAGGCCAGATAGGCAGGTTAGGCTAGATTAGGGTGTTAGGTTAGGTGGGTAGGCAGGGGTTAGGCTAGATTAGGGTAGGCAGTAGGCCAGACTAGGCAGGGCAGGTTAGGTTAGGTTAGGTTGGGGTGGGTGGAATTTAGGGTACAGATTAGGCTAGGTGGGGTGGGATTGAGGCTGGTTAGGTTAGGGTAGGTTAGGTTAGGTTGGAGTTGGAGATTAGGCAGTTAGGCTAGGATTGGGCTGATTAGGCAGGTTAGGCAGGCTGATTAGGCATTGGTTAGGCTAGATTAGGCCAGTTAGGCAGTTTGGTTGGGCAGGCTAGGCCAGATTAGGCAGTGTTAGGCTAGATTAGGGTAAGTTAAATTCAGGTTGGGGCAGGCTAGGTTAGGCAGGTTGTGTTTAGGGTTTAGGTTAGGTAGGTTAGCCAGGTTAGGTGCAGGCCAGGTTAGGCAGGCCAGGGTAGGGGGGCAGGGTTAAGCCAGGCCAGGCCAGGCCAGGCCAGGTTAGGCAGTAAGAAGGCAGGTTAGGCCAGACTAGGCAGGTTGTAGGTTAGGCCAGGCAGGTTAGGCTAGATTAGGGTTAGGTTAGGTTAGGTTAGGGTAGGTTAGGGTAGGTTAGGTTAGGGTAGGTTAGGTTAGGGTAGGTTAGGCTAGATTAGGGTAGGTTAGGGTAGGTTAGGTTAGGTTAAAGTGTGAGTAGACAGACAAATATATAGAGCCAGACAGACATACGCTCATCAGAGGTAAAGATGAGAGGGGAGCCAGCCAGGGTAGTGAGGGGCGCCGCGGGAGGCTGCTGGGGGTCGATCACATCACCAATATGAGCGTGGTTGAGGAGGACCCTGACGGTGGGCTCCCTCTCCACCAGGAACCCGCCGCCCCTCGGTAGTCCTGAGTTGCGGGGTATTAACAGCGTCCACGGCTTACCTGTAATAACATACCAGGTGTGTTAATTTAACATGGAACTACAGGTACAAGTACACGTGTTGATATAAGTTTATATACAGATACAGATACAAGTAGCGGTACATTTTAACTACAGAGAGAGAGAGAGAGAGAGAGAGAGAGAGAGAGAGAGTGAGACGCTATGAAAGACCCTGGTTGGTTGTCTACATTATTTGAGGTATTTCCTCCTGCATGGCTGACAGACCAACTATTGACCTTGTGATGAAATGTTCCGGGTTCGAGCCTCGGGTTATGGGGGGGTGAGGGGGGAGGGGGGAGGCTTAAGACCATTAATAATACGACTGTGACACTGACCCCACACAGACACACACGTACACGTTCATATATATACTGTACATACATATATACTACAGCAGACACCACATATAGACAGACAATCTTCCTCATTAGTATATTATAAATATTCATATCGATAGATAGTGTTACCAAGCCAGACTCCAAGAAACCCCGCTAACTATTGACCTTTTCACCCAAAATGGCGCGACATTCCACTGTGACTCGACTCGTAACTCAATAATTAAAATACAACCCTTTAAGAGAGCCCTTCTTGCAGTGTTGCCAACTCAGGGTCATCACCAAACACCCTTGCTGCAGTATTGCCAACTCAGGGTCACCAACACACCTTGACATTTTCACCTCGGCCAAGATACGTCCGTCTCTCCCCATGACGTCATCAACTTGTATGGATCGTGACGTCATAATTCACAGGGGATATTTGGGTGTGTGTCTGAGAGAGAGTACTGTACCTGTGACTGTTTTTCCCGCCAAATCTCTATTATTCCAATTTATTTACCTATTAACAGTTTTCCCGCCATTTTAACCAGTTTGTTTATTTACCACAATTTTCGCGCCATTTTTAAAGATACGAATTTCCCGCTCTAATTCATCGATAAACCATCAATGTTTATTTATTTCTTGGGTAGTTTTTCGCACCATTTTTTATCGCGCGTAGAGAATGTTGTTGTTATGACGTCACGGAGAGAAAGTGTGGAGAAGGAGGTAAGAATATTTATCATTATCGCCTCACTGTTTGGATTTGATAATTAACAGATAAATTATCATCATATACGACTGTTAATAATTACACCTTGATGGAAATAATTTGTTGTCAGGTTGAAACTTTGTATTTTATTGTAAATATATTAAGGTTAATATTGTATGATAATCTGTTGAGTAAAGTTTATTGATGAGAAAAAATAATAATTTATATATATCGCGTCTGTTATTGTTGGAGAGAGAGAGAGAGAGAGAGAGAGAGAGAGAGAGAGAGAGAGAGAGAGAGAGAGAGTATCTATTAGCCTAAGTCTCATTGTCGCCTCGTACTTAATTATATGGATCAAGTAATTAAGTTTTATTATACAGTTAAGTGTTTTTCTCGTTTCTTCAGACCTGACACAGATTTTTCTTAAGTGACAACACAGCACAACACAGCAGAACCTACCCACATACTCCTCCCCACACCCCTACACACTCCTGTTGTGGGGGGGCGTGGTGAGAGTGCGTTGTGGGGGTGTGTGGTGAGAGTGCGTTGTGGGGTGTGTGGTGAGAGTGCGTTGTGGGGTGTGTGGTGAGAGTGCGTTGTGGGGTGTGTGGTGAGGGTGTGTGGTGAGAGTGCGTTGTGGGGTGTGTGGGTGAAAGTGCGTTGTGGGGTGTGTGGTGAGTGCGTTGTGGGGTGTGTGGTGAGAGTGCGTTGTGGGGTGTGTGGTGAGAGTGCGTTGTGGGGGTGTATGGTGAGAGTGCGTTGTGGGGTGTGTTGAGGGTGTGTGGTGAGGGTGCGTTGTGGGGTGTGTGGTTGAAGTGCGTTGTGGGGTGTGTGTGGTGAAAGTGCATTTGTGGGGTGTGTGGTGAGGTGCGTTGTGGGGTGTGTGGTGAAGTGCGTTGTGGGGATGTGGTGAGAGTGTGGGGTGTGGGTGTTGTGAGGGGTGAAGTGCATTGTGGGGTGTGTGGTGAGAGTGCGTTGTGGGGTGTGTGGTGAGAGTGCGTTGTGGGGTGTGGTGAGAGTGCATTGTGGGGTGTGTGGTGAGTGCGTTGTGGGGGTGTGGTGAGGGTGCGTTGTGGGGGTGTTAACGGCTTATTCATGCGTTAGGTGATGGACTTGAGGGAGGAGGAGGGGAGGAAGAAGGGGGAGGAGGGGGAGGAGGAGGGAAGAAAGAGGGGGAGAAGGAGGAGGGGAAGGGGGAAGGAGGGGGAGGGGGCAGGTAGAAAGTGAAGGTGGTGGTGGGCGTCAGTGTTACCAACAGCCTGGGTGAGGGGCATCTCTCTTATATTAATACTATAAGACCAAGGATGTTGTTGGTAACGCTGTCAACACTTTTTTTCACATAGAACCTTTTCCGTAAAACCTGTCTGTCTGTCTGTACCAGTGTCTGTTTGTCTGTCTGTACCAGTGTCTGTTTGTCTGTCTGTACCAGTGTCTGTCTGTACCCGTCTGTCTGTGTCTCCTTGTACGTGTGAATGTCTGTACCAGTTAAAACCCCTGAAAATGTCAACATGTCTTTCTGACTGTATAACCTTATGATGGTGGTAATAATGGTAGTGGTGGTAGACGTGGTAGTGGTGGTAGTAGTAGTGGTGGTGGTAGACGTGGTAGTGGTAGTAGTAGTAGTGGTGGTAGACGTGGTAGTGGTGGTAGTAGTAGTAGTGGTGGTAGTAGTAGTGGTGAGTGGTGGTGGTAGTACGTGGTAGTGGTAGACCGTAGTGGGTAATGATAGTGGTAGTAGTAGTAGTGGTGGTGGTAGACGTGGTAGTGGTAGTAGTGGTGGTAGACGTGGTAGTGGTAGTAGGGGTAGTGATAGTGGTAGTAGTAGTAGTGGTGGTGGTAGACGTGGTAGTGGTAGTAGTGGTGGTAGACGTGGTAGTGGTAGTAGTGGTGGTAGACGTGGTAGTGGTAGTAGGGGTAGTGATAGTGGTAGTAGTAGTAGTGGTGGTAGTGATAGTGGTAGTAGTAGTAGTGGTGGTAGTCGTATCACACGAGGCTGACAATATTACCACACCCAGAGCTACTAAGACCACCACCCCTCATGTGCTGGTGTGCAACAACTTACCCCCACCAAATATTTCCCTCCGTTCCTTTAAATCATCTCTTTAAAAACCTGTATTGTCTAAGTATTAATATATTTGTAATACCTACTTTATATTCTTGCTTATATTGTGCCACCAAAACCATTATAGAACGTGTTATAGATAGATAGAAGCTCTCATTGTAATAATTATAGTTGCCGACAAGACATGATATTGACAGCTCTGTCCTCGTGTTCCACCTTAATACAATCCAGATATCAACTCCTCTGTAAAATATTTATATATTCTAATATAAATGTAAACCAATGAAATAAATAGATAAATAACGAAGTGATAACCTTGATAACATGGTGATATCTTAGTGCCACCATGTTGCTCGTTCTACTCCAGATGAAACATAATTCTTGCTTGAGATAAATGTACAGTTTATATCAGGTGCCTACAAGAGAACTTAGTGTTGTTGTTGTTATCTGTGTTCTTCTGGTTAAATAAACGGATTTATTATTAACCTTAACATAACAATACATCCCTCCCCCCCACACTGGTGATACAGGTCACAGGCAGCCAGCCAGCCTACATTCCTCAACTGCAGGTCAACCCAGTCCCAGTGTTAGTCAGCCCCAGCCCTCACAGGCCCCAGTACGGGAGGCCCCAATCTGACCAGACTTATCCATAAGAACTGGGGTCTATTATCACTGTAATCTATTTCAACTGGGGCCTATTAATACAAGGGCTATTAGAACTGGAGCCTATTAGTACAAAGGCCTATCATAACTGGGTCTATAGGACAGGGGCCTATTAGAACTGGGGTCTATTAGAACTGGGGCCTATTAGAACTGGGGTCTATTAGAACTGGGTGTAGAAGGCACAGTGGGAAGGAGGACCCAAAAAGAGGTGGGGGGAAGTGGGGGCGGTGAAGTGAAGCGGGCAGGCAGGGTGACCTTGAGGGGGGGGTCATCTAAACCAAGGTGGTGACCCAGACACACCTTACCTGAACTGTGTGTGGTGCTACTACTACTACTACTACTACTACTACTACTACTACTACTAGTACGGACAGTATAGGCTGGTACATACACAGGTACAGTAAAATACTAAAACTCAGTCTGTAAAGTACTACAGTACTTTACAGAGCTACAGATGTAACCTTCACCACAAACATTGAATTGTAGTGTTGTGTGTTTGTTGTGCGTTTGTTGTAGTGTTGTGTGTTTGTTGTAGTGTTGTGTGTTTGTTGTAGTGTTGTGTGTTGTAGTTATAGTAATGAATGTGTTTGTTAAGTATAGGTTTTATTACTTAACATCGTAAATATTAATAATAATAACCTATAATTATTATAACAATGACACTAATAATAATATTAACAACAACATCAATGGTTTTAAATTAGACAAAGTTAGATTTAGGCGCAAAATAGGTAAACATTGGAGGGTAGTGGACGAGTGGAACAAGTCACCAAATATCATCATTAACTCTAATACGCTGGACAGCTTCAAACACAGGCTGGGTGGATGTATGGGCAATAGGGGTTGGGTGTAAATGGGACTGCCCAGTATAGACCCGCTGCTGTTTCCTCCATTATTATGTTGCAATAAAAATAACAATAACAATAAGAATAATAATAAGAATATGAATATATCCTAAGACGTTCACCAGCACAATGCTTCTACCTCACTCAATCTAACCAAGCCTTACTCAACCTAACCAAGCCTTACCTAACCTAACCAAGCCTTACCTAACCTAACTTTACTTAACCTACCGTAACTTGGCCTCACCTAACCTAATCAAACTTAAACTGACCTTATTTATCTTTACTTAACCTAACCCGGGTGGAGAGAGAGAGAGAGAGAGAGAGAGAGAGGATGCAACACAAGGACATGCCAGCCCTCCCTCACCTACCCACCTGACACATTGAACCTTACCTAACCTCACCTTAACTC